CTGTGGCCCACTGTTCCAGCCTGGCCGGACCATTTTGGATCCTCCATCTTGGCATCGTTTGCAAATTTGATGTTGCTTTTGCCTTTATCCAAATCATTGATAAAAATATTAAACATCATAGGACCCCACATACTGTGTTGATCCCTGGAGCACTCCACGGGAGAGCTTCTACATTACCTACCTGCTAATAGCCGCTAACATTTATATAGTGCTGACTGCCAGGCACTGTGCTGTTTTACAAACATTATCTCATTTGATCCTTATAACAACCCTAAGAGGTAGGTGGTGGTGTTGTCCCCGTTTTACAGATGAGGAAACTGAGGTCAGCAGGTTAAGTGACTTGCCCAGGGTCACACAGCTAGTAAGCGAGGCAGGAGTTAAACTCTGGTCTTCCGGAATCCAGGCCCAGCACTCTGCATGATGGCACCCCCTCGCACTTGCGATGGTGATGACGCCATCGTTACTCTGGTGGACACTTTTTCAAAGCCTGGTTTGTCAGACACCTGACAGTGACTGACTCTCTGACCCTGGACAGGCATTCCGCCTTCTCAGCTTGTGCCGGGGCGCCACGGGTCCTGGCCCTTTTGTAGATACTCACCCTCCTTGTCTTTGATTCCTGGCAAGGACCAGAATGTGTTGAAGTCGGCTTGGTAGCTGATCACTTAGAGATGCACTTCTCTTCCCCTTTTTGAAAATCAGGACATCTGTCCTCTGATGCGATGAGCCTATCTTCGATAAAAATACCCCAGGTAACCCTGGAGTCATCTCTGCCAATTCTTTCCGTGCCAGAGGGTGTTGTTCGTCAAGTAATTTAAACTCATTAAGGGCTTATTTACCTGGGGTATTTGCTACCTGCCGGTCACCCTGGTTCTCCCCTTTCCAAAGAACATTCTCTTTGGCAGAGAAAACAGCCCAGACAGTCACCTGAGGGCAGAGGTGAAGAGTTCAAGAGCTGTCCGTCATGAGACATTATCGATCCATCCAATCCAGTAAACAGTTACTAAGGGCCCTCTGTGTGTCAGGTGCTGTGCTAGGCACTGGGTGCACATTTAGAAAAGAGAATAACCGCCCCTGACGTCAGGAAGCTTATGGTCCGATGGAAGGAGGCACAGGGTGGGGAGAACAGCGGCTCAGGGGCAGCTTGTGTGGAGCTGACGCCAGCCAGGATAGGTGCAGACTGAGCAGCCCCAGAGCCCAGATCGTCCCCTCTATAGAGGAAGGCTTTCGGGGAGCATCCCTCACGTCACGTCACGGCGGTGATGAGCTTACCCATCGGGGCATCTTATCTGAGGAGGCGAGACCCAGCCAGAGGCCCCTTTGCTTTCTTTGTAGGGTTGTAGCTCACCTTTCACTTCTGCCACCATTGTTCTTTGCTCCCAGCTTACGCGGCTGCTGGCGGGCTTCAAGGCTGGAAAGTTAGGGGCAGTGAGCTGTCAGCAGTGGTAGGGTGGGGGGTGGGACACGCACTTAACCTCTTCTGCTGTCCTGGCTGCTGCTTTTTTCCTTGACCATTTTGATGCATTTTGAAAATGTTTGAGAAGCCAATGGTTCCCCTTCTTTTTCTGGTCTTAGTAGAAAAGGAATAGATGTATCTAGAGGCACATTAAAAAGTCGACTGCAGGGTGTTGACGGATCAGGGGTTAGTGGGCCTGGGTTAGAATCCCAGCCCTGCCCCACTTCACATGAACCTTCATCAGGCCTCGTGTGTAACACACGAGGCTGAGGCAAGGGGACCCACTCAAATCCCTTCCTGTGCTCAAATCTTCTGCTCCCATGATAATCGTTCTTAGGCAAAGATTGAATTAATCACATCTCACTTAGGAAGGTTTGAAGATTTCAGAGTTGAGGCAGATTTAGGTCAAATGTGTTGCCAGATATGTAAAGGGAATTTTTCTTAAACCAAGTACAAAACTGAATGCTGGAGCAATGATATCTTCTTTATCAAGTTAACTTTTAGATATATTTCTACCCCCTAAACTTACGTACAAAACAGGTTTGATCATGAGTAGCAAGGACCTATGTGGTATTATTGGTTACCCTGCACTTTTCAGCTCTTTCTGATTGGGTGTAGTTTGGGGCAGACCTTCCCAAAGTGGGTGATATCGCCCCCTGAGGTGCTCTGGACCCATGGGGGGGCATTGGATAAAAATAAAGGCGTGATGAAAGTATAAGGAAAGAAGAGAAAATTTTGAAAAACCATTTATACATGTTTCATCTGTTGTATAACAGTTAAAGTCAGTAATTATAATGTGATACTATATGGTTACATGATGCAGTATTGTGTCATCAAAATTTTGATGCAGGAAAAAACCCCCACAAATTTATAATAGATTATTAAATTTAAGATGCATCATTTAAAAATACATATTTTGCTTATTTTTTGAAATGACACAAATTTTTTAAAGTTAAAGGTTTAAAGAAAGTAGATTTCCACGGAGGGCTCTAAGTAATTTTTCTTTTGAAAAGGAGGCAATAGGCCAGATAAGTTTGAGAACCTCTGGTTTGGGATTCTTCCCTAGAGGGCCGTGAAGGAGGGAGAAGCAGCACCTGATGAGGAACTAGACGGTGAGTCTTTTTATAACATGTTGATAAGCTCAATAAATATGCAGATGGAAAGTTAAATCCCAAAGGATCCATTTGCCTCTGAGAAAAGTCTAGATTTCTTGGCGTATTTACATGTGTCGCCTTCCACCATCTTTGGCCTGCATGTTCAGAAGCTTGGTTTGAGGTTTTATGTCATTGTAGTCAGGGTATGTATTTCCAGTTCTGTTTTCTTTGCTTTGCATTATTTATGTCCCACATTTGTCACACTAATGTTGCAGTTTCCATTCTGTTGATAACCCACAATTGGCTTGGTAGTTTACTAGTCCTTGAATATAGTAGTTTCTTTTATTCGCCTTTTGTTTGGTTTGGTTTTTTTGCAATTACAAATAGCTGTGAATGGTTTTATTCAGAATTCCTTTTTAAAATTTTTCTTCTAGAATATCATCCATAAGATAAAGCCGTAGTAACGAGATCACTAAGACCGAGTCTACTTTATAACCTACTCTGTATCACTGAGTTGTGCGCTACCCTAGAATTATATCAATGTACAATTGCAATAATGTGAGAGTGCTTCTTTTCCCACAGCTCCACTGACCATGAATTTTGCCATTTTAAACTGTATTTGCCAACTTTATTAGCAATAATAGTAATAATAAATAGACATGAAGCCATAGAAACTCCCGGTCTACGTCCAAGTCACATAGTTGAAGTCAGAGAGTTAAGGTGTGATAGTACCTCAAAGTTCTTCTAATCTGCATTTCTCTGATCATTTTGAAGAGTTGGGCGTTATTTATAGTTTATAACAGGGCCATTAACTTTGATAAAGTGTTCATTTTCCTTTGGCTCTTTTCCACTCGGGAACAGTTGTACACAATCCCCCTCCCCTCCCAGCTGAGGAAATCGGGGCTCTTCCCCAGGAACCCCGACTTCCTTCTTCCTCTGCATCCCAGCCTTTTGAAATCTCCCATTTTTTTCTCCTTTAGTCCATCCCTTCTCCCCAAGGCTCACCCCTCTACGTGTGCCCTGAATCCTTTCTCTTCCTACCTTCTCCAGGAAATTGTCCCCAGTATCACCCACCCCACACTTTAGCTGCTGGTTCCCTCTCTGCTGCCTACAGACAAGCCTGAGAGCTCTTTGCTCTTCACTGGGACTTGCCTGTCATTTCTGCTGCTCCATCACTTCCTCCCTCTCTCCTGTGCCCTCTGTCTTCCAGTCTCTTCATTCTCTCCCCCCCCCCCAAACTCTCCCACTCTTGAGTTTTCCATTTCCTGTTGAGGACTGGACCCAGCACCCACGGCCTCAGTCTCAGATCCATCCCTTCCTCCTCCCTGGACCCAGGTATGGTTAGATGCCACATCTTGTCCCTCTGAGCTGGGGTCCTTGTTACTTCTCCTCTACCCTCCCAGGGGTTCTTCTGGCCTTGAGTCTTTGCACATGGCTGCCAAAGGGAGTTTTTTCCTAAATTGAATGGCAGCCCCTCCCGGTCTCTGCAGTGAGCATCCCTTCTAGATCCTTGTTTGGCCTTTAAAGCCCTTTACCAACTGGTCCTAATTTACCTTCCCAGCCTTATTATACACTCCCCTTCACACCATCTGGGGTCCAGCTAAATGTGCTGGCCACCGTCCTGTTGTTTTCTGTATATGGCTGGCCTGCATTTCCCACTACCTGCCTTTGTATGGCCGTGTCCCCCTTGCCTGGGATTGAGGGCCATGGTCCACATCAAAGTTCATCACCAAAGGGCTGCCTTTTTTCTTTGCAGATCTCCCTTCTGTCTCCCCAGAGCCTTAGGGTCTTCTCCTCAGTGTTTATGTAGATGTGCAGATGTATGTCCTCTCCCTGAGGGCAGGAATCACCTTGCTTCTGTTTGTCTTTGGGTGAGGCACAGAAGGCTCCCTGGCTAGCAGGGAGGGGATCAGAAACTTGCAGTGAGCCAATAGCCTCAGAAGCAGAAGGTGATCCATGAAGGAGCCAGAAGAGCTCATTTGGCTGCTGGTTGGGCCGGGCCTCTGCTTCCTGCGTGTGCCAAGGAGGGTTGGTGGCTTCTCTTGGGCCCTGCAGATTTTCTCTGTGGATGCTTTGGCACCGTTGCTGGGGGTCTTGGATGGGGAGAGGAAGGAGGGTCAGGGCCTTTGGGAGTACACGCAGTAGGATCAGTGACCTACAGATTGTGAGCTCCTTAAGGGCAGGAACTGTCTTTTTCTCTTTTGTATCCCCTGAGCTTAGTACAGTACCTGGCACATGGTAGGTACTTAATAAGTGTTTATTGATTATTAATTAAGGTGTGCTTGTTCTGAGTCATCACACGTGGCTTGTTTTGAAAAAATGGTTGTACAGGTTGTACTTGCAGAGCCGAACGAAATATGTGCATGAAAAGGGCCCCTTGTATTTATGACTTCTGTGTGAGCATGGATTTGCTGGTTTAATTGTTGATCCAAATGTTTGCTTTTTTAATACAGTTGGTGACAAAGTTCCTGCTGACATAAGGTTGACGTCCATCAAGTCTACTACCTTGAGAGTGGACCAGTCAATTCTCACAGGTAACTGTTGGTGCTTATGTACATGTGGAACTGAAAGCCTTTGGGCACCTGGTTCATGTTCCTGTGAAGCTGCTAGAGGATGCTCCCAGAGTCAAATTGCCATTAATGGTGCTGGGTCTCCAGTTTTTATTAAGCACTAAGGGCGCCTGGTCCAGGCCCTTAAGATAGGGATTTAAGAATAGAATCAATGAGAGGAGATCACCTTTTACTAGGCCCTGCCCTGTTAAAAGATAGAACTGCGCCATTGTCATCAGAAAGCCAAGCATTTCTTGAGTTTTTATTTTTAAACAAAACCTGGGGGAAAGGGTTAAGGTGTAAAGGAAAAGATTATGGTAGTGCATATGCTTTATATAATTGGCTTTCATCTTATGGGCAGTGGGGTCTCTGGTAGTTAGTAAACAAATGAGCTGGAATCAGGGGAAGTACGGTCTGGTGGAAGGTAAATAAGTGCCTGCTCTGCTTCTGATGAGTTTTCTGACCTTGGGCCTCAGTTTCCTTATCTGTGGAAGTTATTGAAATGTTCTCTGAGGACCCTTCTAGCCCTGATTCCATCTTTCTTTGCCTCAAGGGAAAAAAGTCTTAGATTGTTATTAACAGTGCCTCATTTTATAGAATCTTGGTGCTTTCTAATCTCCTGGTCTTCCTGATCTACTTTAGATATGATCTACTTTATAGCAATCACCTACCAAACAAGCATGATTAACAATAAGAGTAGGCCTAACAATAAACCCGACTCCTACCTCAACTCTGAGCATTTAAGCTGGAAGCTTGCTAGGGGCCCTTTCTTTGCCCTGTTTGTTTGGCCGGGGCACCGGGTGGGGTAGAGTGAGTAGGGTGGAGGGCTCCGGGGAAGGACCTGGGGAAGGAAGGGTGTCAGAAGAACGGCACAAAAAGAAACAATGAAAACCTGAAGTAAAGCCCACGGATTGGTAGAGAAAAATAAAAATTTTAAAGGTTATCAGGATTTTATATCAGATTATTAATTTGTAAAGCAATTGCTTGTATAGAGGAGGTGATGTGAAAAAAGCAGAAACAATGGCCCTGGGCTGGCAGCTTTCCTAACGGTCTTTGTATTGAAGGAAAATTCCCAAAGGCCACAAGTAAACTCATTACCAACTTAAGTGAAGTCCTGAGCCTATGGCTGGAAGTGAAAAATAAGGAATCCCTTGTAAGCTACTCAGATCTGGTTTTGAAAATAGAAACAGTCAAGGAAGCTAAAACCTAGGATTGATTTATCAAGAGAATGGAGAGTGGGAGTGGGAGTCATCTCCTCTTGGCTACCTCCTCCCTGCATGCTTTATTATGTAACAAAACTAGGGTTTTTGAGGTTATAAATATTGCTTCTGGAAAACTAAGGCTACTGTGACACGGCCTTTCTCACTTTGTCACAGAAGCAGCTCTTGGAGAAGTCACCAGGACTGGCCCCCTGACAGGGGACCAACTGTCCTGACTTTGTAGCTTGGAGCTCCATCCCTTGCACTGTCGAACGCTAACCCTAAATGCAGTAGAGCCAGAGGGTGGGGAGGCCAGCAAGGGCGCTGGGGAAGGCCTTTCTTCTCTTCTTCCAGCCCCTGCCTCTTCTTTGTCGTGACTGCATTATAAGAACAAAAAGTCAGGCTTTGTCATCTCTAATCTTTTGGGTAGCAAGCCTGCCTCAGGAGCCTCTAAAATGTGAATCTGTTAATGACTCGGTACAAAATTCTGATTGAAGAGAAAGTGAGTTTCAGAAGTGACTCTAGAAAAACAAGAAATCTTTGCTTCAAAACTGTGCAGCCCCCGAAAGATCTGCATCAGTTAAACCCGTTTAACGTGTCATTTCTGGTGAAAGCCAGGATGAGAAGGGCAATCCTTGAGGCACAGGCAGGCAGGCTCGTGTCACTGAGAGCCAGGCCAGGTCGGCAATGCTGGCTCTCTGTGAAATCATTGGGCTTTTTCCTTTCTCTCTGTATTATTTGACAGTTGCTTTTAATTGGTGATCTGTCTTGCCATGGAAAATATTACAGGTTTTTGCAACTTTAAGCTTACTGACTGTTGCTCATTAGGGGGCATATCTTTCAGTATCTCCGTTTTAATGCTTATCATTTAGGTGAATCTGTCTCTGTTATTAAACACACGGACCCTGTGCCTGATCCCCGGGCTGTCAACCAAGATAAGAAGAATATGCTTTTCTCTGTAAGTACTTTCTTAAAGCCCATTTTCACTTTTCCTATGTTGTAGCTAGCCCTCAGGGTTATGGATCTTGGGGAATCTTCGCTCTTAAAATGAATAACCAAAAACTTGCCCTACAAATCAGATTGCTAAAGGGAACCTGCTCAGCAAATAGACTGCACTTCCAAAGTTGGTAAATTGGCCACTTTCCAGAACTTGAATTTGTTCTGAAAAACAGAAAAATGACACCTGTTCCCCATTTCTTCCATAATTCCCTTTTAGGGTACAAATATTGCTGCTGGAAAAGCCATGGGAGTGGTCGTTGCCACTGGCGTGAACACTGAAATTGGCAAAATCCGTGATGAAATGGTGGCGACCGAGCAGGAGAGGACGCCCCTGCAGCAGAAGCTGGACGAGTTTGGGGAGCAGCTGTCCAAAGTCATCTCCCTCATCTGCATCGCCGTCTGGCTGATCAACATCGGGCACTTCAATGACCCCGTACACGGGGGATCCTGGATCAGAGGCGCCATCTACTACTTTAAAATCGCAGTCGCCCTGGCTGTCGCGGCCATTCCCGAGGGTCTGCCTGCCGTCATCACGACCTGCCTGGCCCTGGGGACCCGCCGAATGGCCAAGAAGAACGCCATCGTCAGGAGCCTGCCATCCGTGGAGACCCTGGGCTGCACCTCCGTTATCTGCTCAGACAAGACCGGCACTCTGACCACCAACCAGATGTCCGTGTGCAGGGTAAGGAGCTCTGGGTGTGCTCGTATGTAGTGAGTGGGGGTGGGCTGTGAGGGCTCACTGGAGCTGCCTCTGGGTTTGGGGTGCGGGTCGTGATCTTGCTCTCCATTCTGCCTGTGCTCCACGTGTATGCCCGGTGTGGGCCCCTGAGCGATCCTCTTGGCGGCTCTAAGCCAGTTTCTGGGCCTTCCACGGGGAGGTTTGGAGGTCCCTGGATCTCCTTACTGGTGGTTGTTGGAGGGAGCCTCTAGCCCCCTCTCTCTCCTTCCTCCTGTCTGTGGGGCTTTCGCCACCTCTTTGAAGTCATTGGCCCAAAGACTCCAGGCCAGGCTGGGAGCCTGGGAGTTGCGGGGAGATCTTGGGTATGTTCTGGTTCCGGTGGGGCCTCCTCTGTTGTCAGGCCCGATTGGGATGCTGCCAGCTTAAGTTTGTGGTTTGGTTTTGTCCTGTCTGTCAGAGCAGGGGGTGGGGGCCCTTCTCCACGGCTGGGGGGACAGGGGGCTCTGTATGGCCCCTTGTATCATCAGATGCGCCGTCCTCACGTTTTGTGCCGGCAGAGAGATGTTGGCGTAGACCCATTCCCACCTCTCCTCTGTCCCTTTGGTGGAGATGAGGATTACGGGCACACAGTCTGTACCCAGGCTGTGGAAAGGGGGGCTGGTGGCGCTCGGGCCAGGTCAGCCAGGTAACTGGCCACAGGGCCACAGGTAAGCCTCCTGATGAGGAGACACCATCCCACGAACACGCTGGTGGTTGGACATCCACTCAGACTGGGTGCACGTGTAGTTTGGGGGGCAGAGACATGATCCACTCCATACCTAGTTTCCTCCTATAGAAGCCACCGACCTTTATTAAAGCCTGTTTGTTTATTCACTTCAATCATGTCTGACTCTCCGTGACCCCATTTGGGGTTTTCTTGGCAGAGGCCCTGGAGGGGTTTGTTATTTCCTTCTCCTGCTCTTTTGACAGATGAGGAAACTTGAGGGAAATGGTGAAATGACTTGGCCAGGGTCACACAGCTAGCAATGTTCTGAGGCTGGATTTGAACTCGGATCTTCTTGATTCCAGGCCAGGCATTCTATCCACTGTGCCACCTTCCTTCCTGGCAAAGCCTGGTCGGCATGCCTGTAATACGTAGTTCTCTGAAAGAGAACGACACCGCTGCTGCCTCTGTGAAGGTGGCTTTTTTTCAGTGTTCTTGGAGGGATTAGCGTTTGAGATGAGAGTTAGGCCTCCTTCCCAGGAGCTCACCCTGAAGCCTTTGTGGGGCCCCGCGGACCATGGCAGGGATTGGTTTTTTCTCGTAGGCCTTTACTTGCTCAGAGGCGGGGGAGCGTCCTCCCCCAGGCTGCTCGTTATCCCTGCGGGGTCCAGAAGACTTGGAAGGGGGTGCGCTGGGGCTGGCCACAAACCAGCAAGATGGCGTGTTGGCTCCTCTGGGTGAAGGGCAGTCTTTTGTCTGCTGGGCCATCCTGCTTTACTTTAATGATGGAGAACATTTCTCTGAAGAACTCGTGTGGAGTAATTATGTCGCTGGCTCAGGGAGGAAGGTGCTAGCCCGAGAATCAGGAAGGCCCGAGTTCAGATCCTACCTCAGATCCTTGGTAGCTGTAGGACCCCAGGGCAAGTGCCTTCTTCTCATCTGCCTCGGTTTTCTCATACATAAGTTGGGGGTAATAATAACCCCCACCTCCCAAGGTTGCAAGCAAGGATCAAAAGAGATAATACTTGTAAAGTGCTTTGCAGACCTTAAAGCATTATATAAATGCTAGCAATTATTATTTATTCATTTATTTGGATCAAGAAATGCTCCTGAAATGAAGGCTTTTGGTAACCTGTATGTGTGTAATTCTAATCAGCCATAGGACAGGGTTTTTTTTTCTTTTTTCCTTTGTATATATTGGCTTAAACGTCGTGAAAATGTTTATGTCCCCCAGAGACTAATGAGGCTGCTTTGTCTTAGGAATTTTTAATATTTTGTTGAAATGTTTTCACCTGTCTTTGCAAGTGCAAGTCAGCCGTCCTGCTCACAGTGGTTCCCCCCCACCCCGGCCCCAGTGGACTAGGAGGGAAATGAGGGGAACACGAGACGAGACCTTGTTGTGCTAAATTACTGCTATTTATAGCAAAAGCCATAGAATAACCAACATCAATGCTGCTAGGCTTCCTGGAATGTCCGCTTAGAAGTAGAAGGCCCTCCTTGGCTCACCCTGCTGAGTAATTGCTGTGCCTTGCGGCTTTGGGCTCTTCCAGTGTCTAGTGAGCTGGTCTGAGGAGCTCTAGATTCTGTGGACATTTACAAATTATCCAGCTTCTGAGAAATCCTACCACGAAGGAGCTCAGCCGCTATAGAGAAGCAGGCAAGTGTTTCCCTTGGGAAATAGCTGCTGTTTTTGTTTTTTAAGAATAAACTTGGATTTCCACATTATATGTGTTTTACTTAACTATTCCTCAGAATTAACTCCCACTCTAAGTCAGCCGTGAACTCAAATCCAGCCTCTGGATTGGATATGTGCACTGACTGTGTGACCTTGGGCAAGTCACTTAACCTCTGTTTGCCTCAGTTTCCTCATCTGTAAAATGGGGGTAACAGCAGCACCTCCATCTCAGGGTTGTTGTGAGGATCAAGTGAGACAATATTTGCCAAGCACTTAGCCCAGTGCCTGGCATGTACAGACTCTAATTATTGCAGTAGCATCATCATTATTCTCCAGGTGATGACGCTTTCCTTTCTTTGACCAGCCTTTTGAAAAGTTCCCATGCTAAGACGCATCCGTTCTGAATATGTTACTTACTGCTTAGGAATGTTTTCATTGATTTCTTCCTCATGCGAAGTCCTTCATAGATAGTAGTGCCCGCCCACGGCAAGGACTGACCAGACCTATCTCTTGGCTGGACTACAGGCTGATGCTGTCATATGTTGTCCATCCAGTTGGTGATTAATACGTGGAAAGAACATCAGAGTACCTTGGTCTTGAATGTTTAGACATCGGCAGATTGTGAAACAGTAGATAAAAATGAATGCGACTGTGTTCATCCTTATTTCCATGGCAAAGGCTGTGGTTTCTAGTGTTGAGAAAATGGAAGTGTCTGGAGTCTTAACTGGGTGCTCATCATCCTCAAGACAGGCCTCTGGGAAGGAGAACTCATGTGTCCATTGCTTCAGAGTGACAAACTTTGACCTGTGGTTTCTTAGTAATCACCTAGGCCAGGGGTGGGGAGCCTGCGGCCCTAAGGCCATATGTGGCCTTCAAGGTCTTCAGGTGCAGCCCTTTGACTCGACCCAAACTTCACACCACAAATTCCCTTAATGAAAGGACTAGGACCTCGTCCAACCCCATTCTTTTTTTTTAAAGGGGGAAAGTGCAGGGCAGGCAAAGTGACCCCCACGAAGACAGACCCCCCAGTGGTGGCCCCAGGATGCTGGTTGTCTGCCATCTTTCTTTTGCACTGGTCTCCTTCTTTATTCCCAACCCTGTTTATAGAATTCTTTCACTACATCAATTGCATGCTGATTACTGAGCCACGTTTGTATTAGTGTTACTTTGCATAAAAGAAGAAATTGGGCTTTGTGACAAGCAGATGTGACCAGTGGCAGGAAGCGGGGCCCATCCATTTGGGTCAGACATCCTTCCACTGGGGTATTTGGGGGTTGCTTGTTGGCGTGGACAGAAGAGTGGCCACGGGGTCTGCTGGTGGGCATCAGGTGACGACGTTCATTCACGTTGACTTTCCACGGAAGCTGTCAGAGAAAACGGCTTTCTCTCTTGTATTAGGTTGACGAAGCTAATTGTCAGCAAAAAGCTTACCCTGTTTTTCAAACTTGCTTCCACAGATGTTTATTCTGGACCGAGTGGAAGGGGACAGCTGCTCTTTGAATGAGTTTACAATAACTGGGTCAACATATGCGCCCATGGGAGAAGTGTAAGTAGTGTGTCCATGGTTGACCCACCGCCCATAGGGAGGGCTCAGCTTGGCGTCACAAGGGTCAGATTCTCACTCCACCTCTGGCTACAACTCTGGGCAAATAACCACTTGTCAAAAATGCAAACATTTAGTAATCCCTTGCTGTGTGCACAGCACCAGGGGTACAAAGACACAAGTGAAAGAGGCCCTGCCCTCAAGGAGCTTACTTACATCCTAAGCAGATACTGCATGGATGTGTGTGTGTTCTTAAAGGAAACCAGGAATTCCAAGAGGTTAGCACAGGGCTGGGGAACCTGTGGCTTTCTAGGTCCTTGAGTGCAGCCTTTTGACCAAGTCCAAGTTTTACAGAATAAAGGGGATTTGTTCTGTGAGGTTTGGATTCAGTCAAAGGGCCGCACTTGAGGACCCAGAGGGCCAAGTATGGTCTCGAGGCCGCAGATTCGCCACCCCTGGATTAGGTGTTGAAGGTGAGGGACAGCCAGTGCAGTGATGTACAGCTGGACTCAGGAGAGAGGCTCAGGCTGGAATCCACTGTGGGTCTGGGAGTCGTCCGGGTAGAGCTAATAATTGAACCCATGGGAGCTGGTGAGAAGCCCTGTAAGACAGTGTAGAGAGAAAGGAGAAGCGATTCCAGGACAGAGCCACAGGGGCAGAATGGAGGTGATAGCCATCAAAGAAGGCTGAGAAGGGGTCAGGCAGAAGAACTGAGGGGTGGGGGAAGAGAGCACAAGTGAGCGGTAGCCTTTTCAAGGTGTTTGAGTTGAAGAAAGATGGTATGTTAGGGGCCTGGCAAACTCCTAATCTTGGTTTTTAACTTGGGCGTGTTTGTGGGCAGCGGGGAAGGGACAGTGGGGCAAGGGGAGGTAGTTGGAAGGGGGGGCCTCAAGTAAAAGGAGTTTTAATATGGGCGCACTAGTGACTGTTGCCTGCCTCACGGAGGATCAAGGGAGACTTTACAGACGTTAAAATAGTGTACCAGTGTCAGCTGTAATAGTTGTTAGTCCTGGATAGAGGAGTGATGGGGAATGGGCTGGAGTGGTCGAGCTTGTCTGGGACTCACAGTACGAGAGAGGTCTTGAAAAGGTAGATTAGGGCCACAGGCACGGAACCAGAGCCTGTGGAGATGGTGGTGGATTCTCTAAAGGGGATTAAAAGTTTAAGCATTTCATGGGTGAGGCATTTTAATAGGACAAATTGTCCATCTCCTACTGTGATCTTGAGTGATTTATTTTTTCAAGGCAGAATTAAAGTTATTTCTTATTCTCAAATGGTGGGATCCTCTGAGCTACTTCTTTCTAAAGGTAATGATTAGATGACTGCTGACAGGCTTAAAGTAAAATAATATTTAAAAGAAAAGGTTTGTGAATCTGCTTTTTAATCCAAAGTAAATTATTTCATGATTTGGAAGTAGATAATATAGTAGGTGGGGAAAGAAAGATTTTCACAATTTCCGTCTCCTAACATCACTGTACTCACTTCCCACTGAGTGTCATCGAATGACAATAAAACTTCCTTTTCATTTTAAATAAGGCGCTTAAAAGAGAAACAAGGAAAAGACCTTTTACAGATCCCTTTAATCTTCTGACTCTTGTCTTGAAAAGATGAAATAGGCCAAGAGTCAAACTCCAAGAACAGATCAATCATTTCTCTTCCTGTTAGAGATGACTTCTTGGTTAAGGTTATTCTGCCCTTGAATTTTCGGAAATGGTTTTCATTCATCTAGTTGTACAGCATGTGTTTGCAAACCTCTCTATCCAGAAGATGTTCTAGAACTTCTCGAGTCGGGGCCTGTTCGTGGCTGTGCCGGTAGTGGATGTGCCTGGCTGGCCAGAGGAGGGGAGTCCTGTGTCAAGAATGGTCTTAGTTCATTTTAAGTGAGGCGTGTGTAAAGGCGTGGTCTCGGTCAGCAGACTAGATGGAGCCAGTGAGAGGAGACAAGTAAATCTAGAGGACCCCCATTTCAATATGGTGCCCTCTGTCCAGTTGGCACAGTGCCATCAGTCCAGTCACTCTGGAATAAAAAATGTCAGTTGATACAGAAATGGAACTTAGAAAGCAACTGACCTTGGAACCCACGTCATCAGAAGTGATGTGCTCTGAGCGCACTGCCTTCTCTTCCTTTGACAGGCATAAAGATGACAAACCAGTGAAGTGCCATCAGTATGACGGTCTGGTGGAACTGGCCACCATCTGCGCCCTTTGTAATGACTCTGCATTGGACTACAATGAGGTGAGTGTCACCTGCCTGAGGGCAGGGGCCCCTTGAAGGGCATGGTGGGTGGTCTTAGAACCCAGCCTCCCTCCTCCCCTCTGGAGAGGGCCGGCTTTTCTTTATGTTCCCCATTTATCGGAGGCATCCTGCATCCAGCCAGAAGCACTGGAGCTCCATCCCTCAGGTGCCCTTTCCTGCCGTTCATCACCGTTCTGTAAGCAGCACACCTTAGAGTTTACATGGCTGGAGCAGCTAATGCACGTGAATTGTTTGGGCCACACCGTCCCCTCCCAGAGAACGCTACACGGTCCATCTTGCTTCAGAAATGACAGCAGGCTGCTACCTTCCACACTTCCTTACCACGAAGGCCTAACCACAAAACTTTGTCAGGGTAGAGTTGATTTTGACAGTGTGTGGTCTCTTCCCACCCCCGCCCACCCCTTGCCTCACTTCCTAAGAAGTGAGCAGCTGAGTGGAGAGAAGGTCTGAACGCATGGGCAGTTTAAAGAGCATTGACAAAGCCTATCCTCCCAAACCAAACTGGAATTATCAGTGAGTCTTGAAGAGAGCGCAGAGACTGGCCAGCCAGACTGTGCTTTGGGACAGTCCCAGCACTGGGGAACCTTCACCATGGTAATGACCCTCACCTTTTTCTTTCCTTCATTTTTCTGTATAATAAAGGCAAAAGGGGTGTATGAAAAAGTCGGGGAAGCCACAGAGACTGCCCTCACTTGTCTGGTGGAGAAGATGAACGTCTTTGATACGGAGCTCAAAGGCCTCTCCAGGATTGAACGCGCCAATGCCTGCAACTCGGTAAGTCCCCAGGACCCCTGGGCAGTGATGTGGGGGGGCGGGGTGCGCCCTGTAGATGCCACGTCTCATCTCATGGTGTCTCTGCCGCTTGTGGCCCCTTCTTTCAGGTTATAAAACAACTGATGAAGAAAGAATTCACCCTCGAGTTCTCAAGAGATAGAAAATCAATGTCTGTCTATTGTACACCAAATAAACCAAGCCGGACTTCCATGAGCAAGATGTTTGTGAAGGCAAGTGCCCAGAAGGAGGACTTGTCATTGCCTTAAAAAAGCCAATAATGGTTGAGCTGCTTAATTTCAGTGTTGCAGTATGGAGGTGACCCGAAGCCCACCTTGTAACCTCCGTGTCTTGTCCTGTGCTTTCCAGGGAGCCCCCGAAGGCGTCATCGACAGGTGCACGCACATTCGGGTGGGGAGCACCAAAGTTCCCATGACTTCTGGGGTCAAGCAGAAGATCATGACGGTCATTCGGGAATGGGGCACTGGCAGAGACACGCTGCGCTGCTTGGCGCTGGCCACGCACGACAGTCCTCCCAGAAGAGAGGAGATGAATCTGGAGGACTCAGCCAACTTCATTAAATACGAGGTCAGCCAGTGAAAGGATTCTTCATCCATACCCTCCACGTCACTGTGTCTGAAGGAAAGGAGAAAAGTCTCCGGCTTTCCCAAGAAGGAGACGGGGCTAATAGGTCCCCCACAGGCAGATGGCCCGTCATAGCTTAGTCAGGGGTTTGCCGTTCCCAATATTTACATCTTTTTTGCTGTTTTAAAATCCTCTTTTTTCTGTCAGAAGACTAGGCGGGATTGGGCCAAGACTAGGCAGCTTATTGGGCAGCTTGACGATGAAGGGCTGGGTGAGGGTGTCTTCAGAAAAGGATGGAGCGAGGGAGCGAATTTCCCGCTGCCTCGGTTTCCGGCTCGTGCTGCCCTTGAGTAGGGGTGGAGCGCTCTGTTCATGAGTGGGGGGAGGGGGCGGGGCTTTGTCTTGAATCTGTCATCACAGTTTGCCAGCTGTGGGCGCTCAGTTCTGGAAATGGCGGGGTCTTCAGGGTCAGCGAGTCACTAAGTCTGTGTCTTGGCCCATTTCAGAGTGTAAGTGAGGCACCAGGAAGTTAGTGCCCCAGTCGTGTGACGTTCCTTTGGCTTGTTAGGCACAGGCCGAAAGGTGCCAGTATTTGGGGCTCAGGGAACGTGTGCGGGTGGGTGCAGGACCAGCCTCGAGCTGAGGCCGGGGTCAGGGTACGTCCCTGTCACTGTGCTGCCACCAAGCTCGCTTACCCTCTTGTCCTTCCCAGACCAATCTGACTTTTGTTGGCTGTGTGGGCATGCTGGACCCCCCGAGAACTGAAGTGGCCTCGTCGATCAAGCTCTGTCGGCAGGCTGGCATCCGGGTCATCATGATCACGGGAGACAACAAGGGCACCGCCGTGGCCATCTGCCGTCGGATCGGCATCTTTGGCCACGAGGAAGACGTCGCTGCCAAGGCTTTCACGGGCCGCGAGTTTGACGAGCTGAACCCTTCTGCCCAGAGGGATGCCTGCCTCAATGCCCGCTGCTTTGCCAGGGTGGAGCCTTCCCACAAGTCCAAGATTGTGGAGTTCCTCCAGTCCTTTGATGAAATTACAGCTATGGTAAGTCGGTGGGGGTTGGCGGGGTGCTGGTGAAGCTGGGGATTGAGGTGCGTGGGATTCCAGTCCACATCCATTCAGCCAGATGGCAGCGGCTGAGCTGGTCACAGGAAACCATTCTTAGCCCAGTGTCCACTTGCTGTTAGGCCCAAGTCACAGTTTCTCACTTCCCTGTTAAGTGCTTAGAGATAAGTTAAACATCTTCATGTTTTTGCACGTACCTGATGGACTGGAGCCTCTTCAAGGGTGCCTACTACATGCCAGGCACCCCACAAGCACTGAAGATACAAATACAAATAAAAACAGATGCTCGCTGCCCTCAGGGGGCTTACAATCTAATAGAGGAAGGAGACATACAGAAAGGAACTCAAAGGGGGTGAGGGGAGATGCCCCTGCAGGGGCCAGATGGAGAAGGCCAAGTGGTACAGCAGATGGGGGCGGGGAGCAGACTGAGCCAAGCCCCCTCCTAAAGAGGGCCTGCAGCCCACCGCCCTGCCATCAGGTGAGATGGGAGCACCATCTTGCAGGGGAAGGAGATTTCTGAGTGATGAATTTCCTGGGGAAGAAAGGCAGGCATGATGGAGAGAAATCCAAAAGCTGCGTGGCAGGTGGGAAACGGGGGCTACTGTCCTGCTCTTCCGAGCTCTGAGGTTGTTTTGGTGTGTGTTCACAGCTGGACCTCTTGTAAGAATAGAAGCCATGTCATGTAGTGGAATTAGGGGTCTGCAAGGCCAGGTTCTGGTCACTCGCTGGTTGGTCTGGGGCTGGGCTGGTCACCTCAGGCTTCGTTCTGGGATGGGGCAGCGAAGGCTGGGACGTTGTCTGGTCCTGTGAGTGTCACGGTCTAACAGTTTGCTCTCAAACCACCTGCCCTTAGACTGGGGACGGTGTCAATGATGCCCCGGCCCTGAAGAAATCCGAGATCGGCATTGCCATGGGGTCTGGGACTGCAGTGGCCAAAACCGCTTCAGAGATGGTGTTGGCGGACGACAACTTCTCTACCATCGTGGCGGCTGTCGAGGAAGGACGCGCCATCTACAACAACATGAAGCAGTTCATTCGCTACCTCATCTCTTCCAATGTTGGGGAAGTCGTGTGGTGAGTGTCAAGGACGCGGCTGTGGGCAGGCACGCTGGACTTGGGGAGTGAGAGAGAGCAGGCTCCGGAGAGGAGGGGGCGGGATGGGGAAGGGCGCCAGGAGACCAGAGCACGGTCAGGTTTAAGCAACCAGGAATTACATACCCAGTTCCTCATGCTCTTAAAATTAACTGTTTATTCTGATCTCTGTGCGACAGAAGAATTGTGAATGAGCTAGAATACAAGTTTGTGCTTTGTTTCTGCCTCAGTCACAAAGTATCCATTTTATTTAGTTTTATTTAAAGTTGTAGCCCACAATAACGACCCTACTGTGTGTCCTTCTCTTCTTTTCCGGGGGTAGTATTTTCCTGACTGCTGCTCTAGGTTTTCCTGAGGCTCTCATCCCTGTCCAGCTCTTATGGGTAAACCTGGTGACAGACGGCCTTCCGGCTACGGCCTTGGGCTTCAACCCTCCCGACTTGGACATCATGAACAAGCCGCCCCGAAATCCCAAAGAGCCCCTCATCAGCGGCTGGCTCTTCTTCCGCTACCTGGCCATCGGATGTAAGTAGACACAGGGCGGCATTCCTTCTTCGCGATTGCTTGTGAAGCTCCAGCAGATGAGTCGCACTGACTCTGTTGTCGCATTACACGTTTCCGTCCCGGAACTTTTCACAGACGTGTTTATTCCATCACATCCAGGCAGGAAATGTTGTGCCTTCCCCCCGCCCCGCCCCCCCCCCCCCCCCCGCCACTGAAGTGCCACATGCCTATGAAGGGTGCTCCAAAAGGACGTGTCAGCTCATTGTGAATGAGGCCTGTGTGCAAATCCAGCTGTGCCTCTCCAGAGCCGGCTCTCAGAACATCTCCTAGTCAGTCGTTAATCACTTGATGTCCAAAAGCCATCACCAGGAGAGGCTAAGGAGGGACTTCCGCTTGGAAAAGCAGATGATGGGGGTGCTCAGAGGGCCATGGAGAACGTCACATCATTGGGGCTTTCTAACCGCCCTTTGAGGGACAGAATCCCAGGAGGAGGAAGCCCCGTGGACTGGAGGCCTGCTTAGCATGACTGCCACGTGGTCCTCTCACCTTCACTGAACACACACGCCAGAGTGGGGAGAGAAGGGGCAGTCGTCTGTATAACAGAATCTTTGGGGTGATCCTGGGGCTTTACTTTTACTTCTAATACTGGACTTTTAAATAAATCTAGCCAGCCGCCAGCAGAGCGCTTCTAGGGGATGGCGCTGGAAGAGCAGTTCACTTGTTATAACTTCATTTCTTAATTCAAGGAACAGACTGAAGCCTTTTAAAATAAATTGTTCCTCAGTAGGTCGAACATTTCCCCCGTAGTCTTACTTTTATTCCACAAATATATTTCTCAGCTAGCTTTCTTCATTGATGGTGCAGAAGTGGTCTTGGGGGCACGCGCGCATTTCTTCCACTTGCAGTAGAACCCCGGGCCCTGGGCGCACAAGCACCTTGGGGGTTTGTGGCCCTGCTGGCCATGGTCCCTAGTCTGAGGCGCCTCCCTTGGCTCTTAGCCCTGAGTGGCTTACTGGCCCGGAGGGCCGACCTCCAGCGTGCCTTTGTCGTTCCTCCCTCACGGGCACTGTTTGTGCTTCTGTCCCCAGGTTATGTCGGAGCTGCGACTGTGGGGGCGGCCGCATGGTGGTTCATTGCTGCTGATGGCGGTCCAAGGATTACCTACTACCAGCTGGTACGGCGCTGTCCCGCATGCTGAGGGGTGGCGGAACAGGCAGGTGGGGAGGGCACAGAGATGCCAGGCGTGACCCTGTCCTCCTTGCTTGCAGAGTCACTTCCTGCAGTGTAAAGAGGACAACCCAGACTTTGAGGGCGTAGACTGCGGAGTCTTTGAGTCGCCATACCCCATGACGATGGCGCTGTCTGTGCTGGTAACCATTGAGATGTGCAATGCGCTCAACAGGTGAGTGACTCCAGTCGCAGATGCTGCTCAGACAGCTGCTGCTCGTCACATGTTGATAGCACTCAGTGAGTAGTGTAGGTGCTTCCCAGAAAGGGCCTCCCGATTTATGTGGAAGCAGAGGGGATCCCCCACACTGGGAGAGCAGGTAGACCTCATTGCTGAACCTCCACATGCGGTGTGGTTTTTTTGGCTAGGCAGTGGGGTTAAGTGACTTGCCCAGGGTCACACAGCTAGTAAGTGTCAAGTGTCTGGTCTGAGACCGGATTTGAACTCAGGTCCTCCAGACTCCGGGGCCGGTGCTCTCTCCACTGCACCACCTAGCTGCCCCAGTATGTGTTTTCTTAATTCAAAAAGTAGCTCTTGCTGTTGGTAACTAGTGATCATCCAGATGAAACAGGAATTTCTGAAACGCTTGAGATGTTAGGGCAAAGGGAACAGAAGTGGAGACTGCTGAAACTGGAGGCGCACCTCGGGCTTGGAGAAAGAAGAGAAAGAGACCTCAGCTGACAAGCCTGCCCCCAGCCCAGGTCGAGTGGAGTCAGGGTTTGGGTCAGGGACCAGAGCACAGGTGGCAGCCTGGGATTCCAATCCCGATTGCTCGGTCTTTGTTCTGAGGCTTGTAGGGGCTCTTCCTAGTCCTCTTCCACGTGGGTGATGGGATATGTGTGTGTGCTCTCGGTGTCTTCCTGCAGCTTATCGGAAAACCAGTCCCTGCTGAGGATGCCGCCGTGGGAGAACATCTGGCTGGTGGGCTCCATCTGCCTCTCCATGTCCCTCCACTTCCTCATCCTCTATGTAGAGCCCCTGCCGGTGAGTCCCAGGGGTCCCTCCCTGCTCATCCTCCCCCACACCCCGCCCTGCCGGGCAAGCCCCGCCGTGACCCGGCCCCTTTCTTCAGCTCATCTTCCAGATCACGCCTCTGAATGTGACCCAGTGGCTTATGGTGCTGAAGATCTCCCTGCCCGTGATCCTCATGGACGAGACCCTGAAGTTTGTGGCCCGGAACTACCTGGAACCTGGTAAAGAGTGTGTGCAGCCCGCCTCCAAACCGTGCTCTTTCCCAGCCTGCACCGAAGGGATTTCTTGGCCGTTTGTGCTGATCATTATGCCCTTGGTCATCTGGCTTTATAGCACAGACACTAACTTTAGTGACATGTTCTGGTCTTGACTGACGTAGTTTTACATAAAAGATGTTTAACTTAATCGATTAATTTTTTTTATTGTTTAAAGCAACTGTCTATTTCTGCTGAATTTTCACATGAACATGTTTGCTGGTGAAGGAGGTTTCATACTCTAGATTTTGTTTTGCTTTTTCTGACTCCAGTGGGGCAAGATTTTCCTTTTTTTATACACATAATTAAAGTGTCCATTGACATGTACAGAGAACTAACACTATTTTATGCAAATATTTTTTTGTAGATGAAAAAGCATGTACAGTGTTCTGTCTAATAGTCTCATCCTTGTATAAAGAAATCGTTGAGCCAGCAGACATTGTCAGCAAATTAATTGGCGGCAGATTTTAGGGAATGAATGTGTGTGGTTTTTTCTAAAACTAAGTAGCATGTATTGTCTTCTGCATGATCACCTGGATTTAATTTGATGTCACAGTCTAATTTTTTTATTCATAAGCCAATTTTTCTGCACTGAGCAGAGTACTGCTACCTCAGTCAGTATTTTTGGTTTGCCGCCCCGCCCGCCCCACCCCTCACCGTCAGCACCGTCCCCTCGCCCTTCCCCCACTCCCTCTTGGCTTCTTGGTTCTCGGATGCCGATGGTTTTGTTTACACCCGTCTCATTGAGAGGTAGGCCTGCTCTCGCTTGTGCAGAAAACATTGTTCCAGATCCACTCTCCTGGACTCATCTCCCCCGACGTAGTTTTTAAGGTTATTTATTTTAACGTCTAATGTATTTTCTCGTAACAGACATTGTTTTGCCAACGTTGCCCACTTCAGCGGCACTTATCTAGTTTTAAAAGAAATAAATAAAACCTTTTAAATGGACAGAGGAAAAGAACCTGTCTCGTTTTAACTCTTAAAGTGGCTTAAGCCTAGTTGGGACTCCTTACTGATCTGATCAAGTCTACTCATTTCCCTTCAAGGACTTAGGCCAGAGCCTTGGGATTGTGATTGAGAGGGGCACAAGCCTGGCACAGTTAGAAGTTGGGTCTGAGGGCATGAGTTGTCATCTGCTAGATACACTTAATGCCAGTCCTGATAGAGAGAGACGTAACATGAGCTCCAGTGGTGGGTGGGTGGGTGTGTGTGCGTGTGCGCGTGTTTTGTAAAATCTGTAAATAGCACATGACCAAATGGACATATTGTATAGAACAATTTTTATTTTACCGTGGCACTAACCACCACCATCATTATCATGGTTGATGTTTGCGCATGTTTTCAAGTTCAGTCCGATACCAACAGCGTGTAAGTCATTAACTGTCCTAACTGTGGTGTTTTTCTCCAATGCCTTCCAACATTCATCAACTAAAGTGAGTATTTTTTTGTTGTTGTTAACCAGGGGTGACTCTGCTTTTAAAAAAAAAAAAAGTCTCCTGTATGATGTTAATGAATAAACGATGACTTCCTTGGTCCCAGGCTCCCTCGCTGTGCTATGTGATTGTCGCCCTTTGGGCACCTGACCCAAGCAGCCATGCAAGCGTCTGATGAGACTTTGGCCTTAGGAACCGTCCGAGGGCAGTCAGGTCACAGACTGAGCTAGCTCCCCTGCCATGGATCCTCACCAGGGAGTTCGTGTCAGCAGCCCCCTCTCCTTAATCTGCTTCTGGGGCACATCCTTGGCATTTAAGCCAGGGCCCTCTAGTCAGTGGTCAGCAACCGGCTGGCTTTCCAGAGGAAGTTAAGTCCCCATCTAAGATAAATGACGGTGGGATAGGGATAAAATTGTCCAGAGTACTAGTGTGAATACTCACCGACCCCTCCACAAATCCCCTCTGGGGCAGCTGATGTTCCAGGAGTGTCTGGTGCTTCCTCGGCAGCCCTGCCGGAGCCACTTTCTTAGCACCCTTAGCTGGACCAACTTCCCTCAGCCTTCCTCTCTGTGTGAATGTTTGTGGGGAGGGGAAGGCATCACATATAGGGAATGGAAAATGCCAAGAGATTCTAGGATTGGAATGCTTCAAAGGCAGACTGAAATTTTAGGAGGTCATGTGCTCCTTCCATTTTCCTTTTAACTACCTGAGTGAGCTGCTGCTGTGTGTCTTGAAGGTCAGTCAAGGCTTTCCCCCACTCCCGCCCATGCCCTCCTTCAAGGGGGTAAAGGAGGCGAGTCGTGGAGGGCCTCCCTCCACAGAAGGCAGCAACAGCGAGTCTCCAGGGCCCTCCTGGGCCTACGTCGCCCCTCGGTGTCGCCCCTCGGTGTCACGTTTGTCTGAGATGCCTGGAGAGGAGAGGGGCACACGGCTGCTTTTCCACCATAGGCCTCACCGTAGCTTAGGCTAGCTTGCCACAGACTGCCTACGGATGGGCACAGTGATAGCCGCCCTTCCGGCAGCGGACAGATTGGCTCCCTGCTCTGTATGGATGGGGCAGGACCCTCTCCTTATTCCCCAGCATTCCTCCTGGGCCTTGTTGGTGCTGCTTGCATGGGCTGAGGATTGCTGTTCTGCAGCAATCTCTGTTTGATACCGAGGAGCTCGTGACGCCCTCTCTGTGCCTCAGCACTACCAGCATCCGTAAGGCCCTCCTTTGCCTGTGTTGCTGGTCCTGTGGGGCATGGGTAGGAATCTCCTATGTGGGAGGGCAGGTACATACCTGTCCTGGTTCTGTTCCTGTGATGGGCCAGAGCTTTCAACCAACACCCACCCCTGCAGTCTCCACCAGGAAAGCAGGGAGAATGCCATCTTGACCTCTGCCAAGTACTCTGGCGATACCTTAGAATACCATGGCCCATTCCCCACTCAGAGACGAATCTGCGTTCCCATGTAGGAATGGAAGACTCTGACCAGTCAGGTTTTGACCAAAGCCCCACGTTAAAATAAGCTCAGTCTAGCAAGGAAAGGCACCGGTTCCCACCCTGAAGAGAACAAGCTTCTTATACTGCGCTCAGTCTCTGGCTGCCCTCTGGGCTGACGATAAAGGGGCTTTTCTCCCTTCATCTCCTTGAAGCATTTCTCAGACCATGGCCGTCTCTCAAGAACACAAGCAATGATGGGAGTCCAGCAGGTGGCCGGGCCCGGTGGAATGAATGCCTGCCCTCACTGCTCACTCCTGACTTGCACTTTTAACCATTAACTCTCCTTTTTCCTGTGTGCTGGTTTCACATCCACTAACCACCTCTTGGGACGTGTTTCCTAACTGCACCAAGCCAAGGGTGAGGGCAGCTAGCCTCGAAACGGTCAGTGTAGTCCAGGTGTCCCCCCCACATCATGAGCCATTGGCAGTTAATCGTGGGAACATGCTGGCCGGTGAGCTGAGGTCCAGAAAGAGCCAATTCTGCACCATCTCTCTCTGCCACTATTGATCTTTTTGTCTTATTTTTGTCATAAGAGTAACTTCCTTTCTCCCCCCATTTTCCTACCAGGCTGATTTCCTTTCTCTTTCCTTTTCAGCAATACTGGAGTAACCGCTTCCTAAACCATTTTGCAGAAGTGTGAGGTTGTTTTGTTGCGTGCATGTGCGTTTTTTTTTAGCAACATCTACCAGCCCTCTGCATGTGTGATGTTGGGGAAAAAAAAAAAGGAAAAAAAAATCCTCTCAAGCTCATTGTGTGTGATGTGGAGGACGTGTGTTACCGATGGGGTTTCACTTTTTAAAAAGAATCAGTTACTACTTTAAAAACGTGCAATATAGCTTAACAAATCCGAAAACCTTCCCAGGAAGTTTGGTTCTTTGCTGTACGGAGATTTGGGTCTTTAAAAACCTCAGCCGACCGAGAATTAGGAGCCGGCAGCCAAGTTTCCATATTTCTTCCTGGGATAAAATGCCATAGCTTATATAATGTACAAATCCTCAATTGTAATGCATGCCTTCTGTTGTAAGTAGCCAACCTTCTTGTACGGTCTCATCGAAACGTGCTACTTTATAAACAGCATTGTACAGTATGCTTATTTATAAACTCATGGAAAACACTACAGATGTTGAATGTTACAAATCATAGCCAGCCTTCCAGTCCAGAACTTAAGTTTTGTTTTTGTTTTATTTTTTTTAAATGTGTGCAAACAACTCTTTTGCACTGTAATAATGTAACTTATTTAAGGAAATCCAAGCAGTAGACAGATGTTGGTGCAATAATACAAATATCGTGATGCGTTTCTCTTAGACCTAATGCTAAAAGTCCACTTTTGATCACAAACGCATGTTGGACGTTAGAGACTGTAAATAAAGATGAGTTGTTCATTTCTGTGCTCAGAACAATAAGCACCACAACCATCATGGTTTCAGGTAAATAAATTTATTCTACAATACAGCTGTGGGGTGTTATTTGATGCACCGCTTTCTGAATGGCGATGGCAGACCACTGGGAGCCTTGCTGATGCCACTGTCCCCTGGGCCCCTCTCCTGGGAAGGAGGGGATGATTGGCAGCCCCAGAGCACTGAAGGCCAGGGAGGTGGCCTTGGCTTATCTGGGAAGCCCACCCTTTCTCGAGCTCAGTGCAGCGGCAGGTGGTAAGGTGGAAATAACGTCCCCTGGTAGCCTGTCCCGTCTAGGACTATCCACATGTTTACACGAAAGGCTTTGAACACTGACTTGTCTCTGCCTAAGGGCATGTAAGGAGGAGGAGGGGTCAACATGCAGTACATAGAGCAGAGGGCCTATGGGACCCCAGCTTATGGGGTCCTCCTTTCCCTTTGATACCAAAAAAGGTTCTCAAATTAGAGCCCATTTTCAAAGTTTCATTATGTCTTGGCTTGAAAGGTTCACATGCCTGCACATGCAGAGTATCTTATGTAAAACCAGCAAAACAGGGGCAGCCAGGTGGCGCAGTGGATAAAGCTCCAGCCTTAGAGTCAGGAGGACCCGAGTTCAAACCCAGCCTCAGGCACTTGACACTCACTAGCTGTGTGACCCTGGGCAAGTCACTTAACCCCAGTTGCCTCACCAAAAAGCAAAAAAAAAAAAAAAAAAAAAAAAAACCCAGCGAAACAACTGTGTGTGAAGTATCTCACACCTGTAAGCGCCACCTCTGGGGAAAAGAAAGGTCTATTTTCCTCTTTTCATAGACCAAGGTCAATCATAGGTCAATAGCATCCAACTTCATTATATCATTTTCATATTTACAAAGATCAGTATAGCTATAAGCCCTCACTGGGTGAATGGAGGCTGTTACCGCCCTCCACCTCCACCCCCACCCCAGTCCAGAGCCCCTTTTGCCATGTTACTAACCAGTCAGGCTGGAGGAGTCGGCAAAGGCCCTCACAACTGCCAAGCAGACACCACCACATGCTAGATGAGAGCTGGGTTGTTGCCAGGAACTTAGCCACTGTCGGGCTAAGCCCGTGTCGGCTTGGGGGCAGTTCAGAGAACTCACAGGTAGAGAGAAGACGGCATCCGTGTACCAACCCAGCTGGGAGCTCTCCCCAGGTGAAACTCAGAATTAGATCAGTGGGAGGGAGTGCAGGGGACTTTAAACAGTTGGAGGGAGAATGTGGGTTTAAATCCTGAGCCCCATCTGTTTGCAAAATGACTGGGCTGGATTGGACACGCCTTAGATCAGGCAGGAGGGAGGGTCAAACCTAAGGGCCTCCAAGCGTCCCCCCTCTTACTCACCGTTTCCACTGCGGAGAACACGGGCTAGTGCTGTATTGGCCCAGCTCACCCCACGTTACCAAATTCTGCAGGATGGTCTGACATAAATGTTTAGTTCCTACAAAGGCTAAAAAAATGTTTATCAGTTCCTCTCTGGGCTTCCCAAGGCTTTGCCTACTATGGTAGTGTTTTTCTAGACAAGTTAAACTATATAATCCCAAATCTTCCACGGAGGAACAGTGACTCCCATCCTTGCTGGCCGCCTCAATTTTGAAATGCCTCTACTTTCCCACCCCTGCAAGGCAGGGTCAACACCTAATAAGCCGCTTGAAAATCCTGATATCCCTGTTACATAAGGTTTCAAATGCCTACTTTTCAGTTCTGCTGCAATCCCGAAGTACCTTCTCCTCCACCCCTCTTGGGGTGGGCCCAGGTGATCCCCTCCAGGGATCCTCATGAGACCCCATGAAGTTAGAGCTGATGAAATAGCCTTCAAAGAGCACCAACCTCATAATGCCCCGTGTTTCCCAATTCATTGGGGAGGGGGGGCGGGGGAGTCAAGCATGGTGGATTCCACGTTCCATTTGTGAGGCACCCTGGGGTAGAGACATCTGAAATCATCTCACAGTGTGCCCAACAGACAGCCTTTCAGATCTCAAGGAAACCCCCCAAATCTAAGCAAACCAAACACTCCATCTCTCCCCATGAATGTTGCAAAGTCGCCTGGCTTGCTCAGGGTTCTAAGTGCCGATAATCTAGAAGGGAAGGAGAGAGTGAGGGAGGGCATAAAATGAACAGGGAAGCCTTTGGGCTTTTAATGTGTGCAAGATGTGGTCTGAATCTGAGCCATAATCCAGAGGCCTGTGTCCCTTGCCCCAGAGAGATGCACTTGGCTATAGCTCTAATCTGAACCTCCAACAGCAGACATCTACCTAACCCTACTTTCTTGAGTGGGACGAATAAAATATCAGGATGGGAGAAAATCATCACCAATGGGGGGAACTTGGACACAGTCCCAGTACCACCTGAGATGTGATAATCCACATTCACAGAGAAATGTAATCCTCCCCTTCAAAGGAATCTTCTCCTGGGCCTTCTAAAATAGCAAGCTTCTTCCTCAACACGCTGGGGCCTGCTTACACTCAGGCATGTATGTCCCTGCCAGCTGGCCAAACAGGTAGCACTTGGACTAGGATCTCCTGGAAAAGTAGGCACTAGCCCCAGGCTACCGTCCTCATCTCTGCCTGCACCCCTGCCCCATCAGCCAGGAATTTAATGAAGGCCACAATTCAATGAAATGTCTTCACTGGGTCCAGCCTGACCTAAGGTAGGGGCACCAAAAGGCCCAACCAGACAGTTTATCTGTAGACCTGTACTTTTCTCCAACAGAACAAATGAGAGCTGGCTCTAGCACAGCGCTGCAACTGGTCCTCTCCTACTGGGCAAGGATTCCCCCGCTCAGGAGACTGCATGGTACGCTAAAGGGACTGGCTCTGAAATGAAAAGGCCTGGGTTTGGAACCGAACCTGATGCTCACTACCTGACTCGACAGCACTAAATCTGATGAACATCTGTCAAATGGCAGGGCTGCACTTTCAGGCCTCTGAGACTCCCTACCTCTAGCTAAAAACTGATTTGGAATTCAAAGACAAGCCCATCCAGAGTGGCAGTTTTCATGGGGTAGGAGTGGGAGGCCTTAACCAGGAGCCCAGGGGGGAGGGAGGGGAGGGTCCCAAAAGGTCAGCCTCACCCTTCCACGAGGCCGACCGGCTTTGGAGAGCAGCCCAAGTGAGCCTGCATCAGGGCCGGGTTTAGAAGTCACGTCCAAACCCTGTGGTTCCAGGAAGTGGTTTCTCTTCTCTGGTTTTTAAAAGGCCCTGGACTCCTTCCTAAACCCTCTCGCTTGATTCCTAGCCCAAAACGCCACCCACAAAGATGAAAGGGGAGAGAAGGGCCATGGACAAGTGGCAGCACTCCCCTGGGGGTGCAGGGGCCACAGAAGAGAGGCGATCCCTGGGGATGGGGAGAATGGGTTACCCTGCACCCAAGGGCAGGGGCCGGGCGGGCACTTGCCCACATGGCTGATTGTGTCTCTTGAAGGTTATCATCTCCTGTACTAGTTATTTCATCTCCATTTCTAACCCAATCCAAGTATTTATTAAGCACCTACTACAGTGAAGTACAGTGTACTGTACTAGGATCTCAGGATACCAAACAAACCAATCCCTATACTCAAGAAGCTTATATTCTACTGTGGAAAAGAGAGCAGGGTTAGATGCCACACATTCACGATCAAAAAAGGAGGGAGAGCACCTACAAGTCGAGGAATCAGAACAGGGCAGCTCAGTGGACAGAGCACCAGGCCTGGAGTGAGGAAGACCTGAATTCAAATGTAGCCTCAGCCACTTAACCAGCTGGGTGACCCTGGACAAGTCACTTGTTTGCCTCAGTTTCCTTAACGATAAAATGGGATAATAACCCCGGGGTTTTTGTGAGGATCAAAATAGATAATATTTGCAAAGCAAATGCCAACCATTATTATTAATACCCTAGAACACTCTGACCTACTTTGCCACCAAGATAAGCCACAGCAGGGGTGGGAGATGCCCACAAATGCCAAAAAAAATTTTTTTTAATTAATTTTATTTTTATCAATTAACAAAAATCTATTTTTTTCTCCCTCTCCCCACCCTCCCCCCCCCGAAAAAATAAAACCAAAAAGAAAAACCCCTTTAACAAATATGCATAGTCAAGCAAAACAAATCCTAACATTGGCTATGTCCATAAAGGATATGTCTCAGTCTACACGTCTCATTTTGGAGGAAGGTTCACCTGCTTGGTCCCAGGTCTTCTGAAATCGGGCCTGCTCACCGCCATGATCCAGGCTTGTCTTTACAGTGTTGTTATCATACAGCGTCCATCTGGTTTTGCTCATTTCTCTGTGCATCAGTTCATCTGAGTCTTCCCATGTCTCTTTAACAGGCCCCATCCCCATTTTTTATGGTGTAAAACTCTTCCATTACATTCATATATCCTAACTTTCTTCAAACATCCCCCAAGTTTATGGGGTTTTTGTCACCACAAAAGAAGCTTCTCTCAATGTTTGTACATAGGAGTCCTTTCCCTCTTTCTCTGAATCTTTGGGGCACAGGCCTAGGAGGGGTATTGCTGGGCTAAAGGGTTTAGTCACATAGTTTAGAAACTTTATTGCTCTCCAGAAAGGCTACATGACTGTGCCTGCTTTCCCACAGCCCCTCCAACAACTGCCATCAGCCAGTCTCCTTACATTTTGCTGCCCTGCAGACAATGAAGCGGGAAGGCCTCCCAGCCGGGATGCTCTACCTCCTCCCATCTCCTCCACTGCCTGGGCTCAGCTGAGCTGTGCTCTGTGCCCCAGAAGAGAATCTATGGGAAGCTTCTCCTCCTCTCTGGAGTTACAAGGGCTCTCTACCTCACATTGTCTTATTTGTGCTCCTTTGTGTACACGTTCTATCTCCCAGTAGAAAGTGAATTCCTTGGGAGTGGCAGCGATTGGTTGGTTGGTCTTCCCAGCAACTAGCGCAGTGTTGGACACACAGTAGGCAACTAATAAATGCGCTGAGTTGAACTGGGGCTTCCAGAAGAGAAGACATGTGAGTCGCAACTAATCCTGCCTCTCTTTGTCCTAGACAATGCCTGACAGCCCTGTTGTCTCACCAGCAGCACCTTTAACATCTCAAAGACCTTCTTAAATGGGTGTGTGTTCCCTGAGCAGACACAAACAGAAGGGAAAGTTAGCCGCAACGGGTTAAGAGGAGCTGGCTGTCGTGGTCTAATTTAAAAGCTGCTACATACAATCAAGCTGGCCCATTTCAATATGGCCTATGAAGCCCCAAGAGTTAAAAAACCATGAACCATCAACACCTTTGCAAATGCCAACAAGTCAGGAGACCTGGGTTCAAATCTCAGCTTTAACATTCAGAAGCAAGGTGATCACTGGCAAGTTACTCAAAGTTCTCTGCCTCAATCTTCTCTTCTGTAAAATGGGGATGCCAACACTCACCATACCTACCTTGAAGCACTCTGTAGAAAGGAGTCCTATCACAGCAGGCCTACCATTGCCCACTTAATGGTAAATCTACTCAACCAGCCAGGCGACTCTGCCTAGCACCCTGGGAGCCCTTCCCTGGTCTCACCTCCAGTCAGGGAGGATTCCCAAAGGAAATGAAAACCTGAGTCTGGCCCTTCCCTCAGAGCATCTCGAGAGAGAGAAGCCCTGTAGTTAAATCAGATTTGCCAGGCTTGTCTGTGGGGTCTAACCCATCTCCTGCTATCAGCAGTGAACAGGTCAAGGCATCGAGGGGAGGCTGCACCTTAGCCCAGAGTCACAGGCCCACAAAACAAGTACAAGAAGAGGCCCTAAGTGACCCCCAAAGGCCTCTGAGGGCTCACTTCTTACCCTTCTGAGAGACTTGTGTTTGAGGGGCTGGGAGGAGGGCACTGCTTGGAGTGTAGGGAGGCAGGCTGCTCGGCACTCCAAAACACAGGCAGTTACACGGAAAGACACAAGGTGGTTCTTTCCCATTAATCACCCCCTCCATTTTCACTGCTGAAGGCAAGAGCACAAGGTAGAAGCAGAGCTGCTCCCATGGGTCTGCCCTGAGCCGAGGTTTATCCATCCAAAGGAAGCCCTCCTACCTAGCAGCGCAGTGCTGCCAGCTTTCTCCAGGGTCTGAACATCCATCACCTGGTGCTGGTGCTAGACCACCTGGAAGGAAGGAGCAAGCTTGGGGCTTCAAGGCCCCTGGCAAAGCATGCTCCGTCGGCCTCAGAGACAAGTCCAGCAGACACGTGCAGCTCAACTCTAGGGCTTCTCCCCTAGGTGGGCCAGCATCACCTATCTTTATGTACATTTCACAGGTTTGGAGACAGATGAGAGCACCCCTCCAAGTGACAAGAACAGGTCTTGGTAAACTACGGGTTGGGTTACAGACAGCTTGGTTCTGAGAAGCAGGGGGAGCCTGCTTTGGAGGGATCCCTTTACCACATGAAGCAGATGAAGCTACAGGCAAGTTAATTAAGCACAAAAATTCAAACCATGGCTCCGGGGTCGTTTCTTCAGGTACTTAAGACATGGGCTGGGGGGAAAGATGGGAGATTCTGTGGCCAACATTTCTGGCCCTGAACCAGTTTGTTAGGAAGATACCAGCAGAGGCGTGGCTGGCACACAATGACACCCATACGCAGATGAGGCAGCATAATTTTAAAACCTTTAACAAAAAAATTCATTTTCCAGCTATTCCTGGAGACCAGACAGAATAGGACAAAAGAAATAACAAAAACTGCAGGGTGGCTTTCGTTTCAGCCGGAGGAATTCCATTACTGTACCCAAAAAGTGGCTTTATTCTGCAATTACAGCAAATGAAGAGCCAGAAATCTCAAGAAAAGGGGCTCCTATTCACTGTTCTATGATAAGCTACAGCCAATAACGAAGATCATGGCCTGGGCTCTAGAGGCAGGCTGTTAGGTTATCAAATAGGAAAATGTTTGCAAAATATCAAGTTTCAGTTTAAGGCATCACCCACACTGCAGAAAGAAGCAAAATCAAAAGGGAGATCTTCAACAGCCCACTGGAGTTGTCAGCAAACGGGAAATTTTTTGAAGGGCCAACCTGCACTGCCTTCAGGAACGAGCAGGAGTGCACCTCCCCTCCACCATGCTGCCACATTCCCTATGAAGCATCTTACTCAGTCAGACATTGAGAACCAAAGTGCACAAAGACCACAGTTTGTCCCAGAGCTCAAGCACGCCTGCATGCTTCCCAGACTGCTCGTGGTGAGAGCAGGGAGGGGACGGAGATCTGGAGAGCTCGGCAGGCTCAGTTTTCAAAAACGAAGTTACTACTGAGAACAGAGTGAGAAAACCAAATTCCCCGCTGAGACAAGGTGGCGGTCTTCTTGCCAGATGACGCTGCCCCCAGCTCTGCTCCGAGGGGAGGTCAGCGGCCTCACTGCATGCCAAACCACTGCTCCTGGTCGGCCCACTGCGCCGCCTCGCTGTCACTGCCCTCCAAGTCCCCCTCTTCCCCGCTTCCTTCCATGTCGTCCACGTCCTCCTCCTGGGTAGCGTCGGTGGGACTCTCCTCCTTCTCCATCTTCTGCATCCCCTCTAGAGACTTCTGGTCATTGGGATCCAGACTAAGAGACAAGAAAGCAAAGGGGAAAGTCCGAAGTCACATGCTGCTCCACACACTTGGACCCCTCGCCATCCTGGCAAGTCACATCACTACTGCTCCCCCGCAGAGACCACAGGAGCAAAAGACTTTGTTCCTCCAGGCTGCAAACCCCGAGAGTAGGCGAGGCACGTTACCTTCCCTCTGGGGCCTTCAATTTCCTCATCTAGAAAATTAAGAGGACTTCCTGAGGTTCCTTCCAGCTCAAAATACAGTGAGTCTCTGACCTTTAAGCCTAGCATTCCTTTAGTTCAGAAGACAGTATACTACTGCCATGTCAAAGTTCCAAATTTCTCCACATTTGCAGCCACTGAGCACCCTACTACTCTTCATTCTCCTCCTCACCGACTCAAACTGCTTCCTGATTCCAAGCAAAGCTTAGCCCGAGTGACCGTTCATGGCTTATCAAACAGAAGGCCACTCATATACTGTGTGTGACAATTTAGAGATCACCCCTGCAATCTAACAGCCTCTCCGCTCAATGGCTGACAGTCTGAAATCACAAATCTGGATGTCAGGTCACAGAGGACACCATTCCAGCAAATGGAATAAACACTTCTATCAAGCTATTACAACGTCCCAAATCCTGAGGGCAGGGACAAGACCGGGGCCTATGAAGAGTCAGGCAGACACCTGAGGAAAGCTCCTGAATATAATTCTGACAAGCAGACACACACCAGACAGGCCTAGGTTTTAGCCTGGCCAAGACCCTTGACCAATCTGGGCCCCAGGATCCCCCTTTTGTCAAGCGAGGGGGATCCCAGGATCCTAGTTACAGCTGGTAGGGACTTCAGAAACAAACTACTCCAACCCTCCATTTGAGAGATGAGGAGACTGCGTCCCAGGGAGAATAAGTGATTTCGCTGGCTCACAGAGGCCTTTTCATCACACGTGACTGAGGGGGGATCCTCAGGTCCAGAGAGATGGAGACCAAGTGACTTGCCTAAGGTCACAAGTCATAAACAGCTACAGCCTTCTCATTCCAAAACCAGAGATTTCTGTACCACACCACAATGGACTAGAAAAATCTCCAAAGATCATTCTAGTTCTGACATTCGGTGGCTCGATGATTGGTAAAACTCAGAAGGACTTTATACTAAAGTTCCTATTTATTTAGAAACAGGAACATATTTAGCTGCCAGCACACACAAAATCGGGCCATTTCTGTCCCCAAATGCTGTCATTTTCTATGCAAATAATAGATGCAGAAAATTGCCTGCCACCTCGGGGCAGTTTCTCCAGCCGTGGAACGGTGACAGAGGCACGCCACAGAGCATTCCTCCCCAATCGTGCTGTCATTCTTCACAGGTAAACTCTGCATCTGGTAAACCCGCACACCCCAGGCCTCCCCTGAAGAGGCTCCGAAGGCCTTACCTGAGAGCGATACTGTATTGGTCCATAGCTTCCTGATACTCATTGACAGCCACCAGGAAGTCGCCCAATATTCGATGTAACACACAGTCACTCTGATTGGCCAGCGCATTCCTCAGCAAAGCAATGCCATCTTCATATTTCTGTTCTCTGCCTGAAGAGAGCAAGATGACCTCATTGTCCCACTTAGAGGACTGCCGAAAAGGACGGTTCCATCTCAGCCCTGTTACCTCACACATCCACCCGACCACAGCCTTCGTCCCAACCTGACAATCTATTTCTAGAATTGGCAACAGCACAGTGATGACAGAAGCGAGAGCTCATTCAAATTCCCGTCCCACGGGGGGTTAGAATTCCATTTCTCGTTCTTTCACTGCACTGCTGCTGCACTGGCTCAAATCACGAGTCAAAATGCAATCTGGTTTTTTGACAAAAATGGTTTGGCTCCTTCTTGGTCCACGCGTCCTTCCCTAGTGACAACATCTGGCTAAATACACTACACAAACACAAATTCTGGCCGACAGCAGCCATTCACTGTAGTTAACATGAATGATGATGCTTCGTGGCAGTCAGTGCTGGCTAAACAGCCTTTGGGATTTGTACAAACTTACTAAGTAATTCTGCTTTCTTCACCACCGCTTTAATGTAGTCTGGCCTCTGGGTCAGGGCTTTGTCCAGCAGGGTCTTTGCTTTCTCCTGGGTGACTGGATCTTCAAGACACACAGTGGCTAAAAGGGTGAGGGTTTGTGCATTGGCTCCGAGGGTTTTATAGACATTGTTGGCCATTACCATTGCCTCTCGAATGCTGTTAGAGGCTAAATAACATTCAATGAGACCTAAGGACGGAAACAAAGCGGGAGAGGAGGCAAATGCATTAATATTCCAAACCATGCTGCTCCACCGACCACTTGAGAGTTTGCAATCTAGAAGCCTGTTAAAAGGCAGACAGGGGACAGCTTCTAGAATGAAATGAGCCAGAGAGGGCTCTGAGAATATCAAAGAAGGTTTCTCCCTCTCAAACATCTAAGGAAACAGAAAAAGCCTTCATGCCTGTATTGTACACCTTGAGTGTTGGGCACTATCTCCATAACTGGAGACATAAAGAGCTTGCTATGCAACCATCAGACTCAGCTTGGGAGATTCAAAGTGACCAAGAGAAGAGCCACAAGGAAGAATCCTCTTCTTCCTCTCAGGCAACGAGCACTGGATTGTTAGCTGTATGTGCTTTCAATTATTTCTGACCTGTGTTTAAAGGCAAACCCAAAATGGCCTCTGCAGTCTAAGATCAGGCCAAGTGTAGATGGTCTGGCAGGGCAGAAGACCTAGTCAGGTTATCTAGGAGAAATGAAATGTTTTGCTTTGAATGACATGAAAGAGTTCTGGGCCACAGAAAGTTCTATTAGACTGGAGAAGAACTATTTAATTCCTTAAAAACCAAAACAGATTCAAATCATATGACTAGTTTTATTTTCTCTCTTTTTCTACCTTCTCCCCTTTTTTATGACCAGGTCTCCCTAACTGCCCAGGCTGGAAAGGGAGGCCCATGCCCACTCTGCCTAGCACAGAAGCTCTGACCTCGTCTATTTTCCACCTGGGCTGGTTTGTGCCTCCTGAGGCAGCTGGGAGGCCCTCCACTGCCAGGGGCTCAGTGTCTTGGTGCCCAACTGAGCACCGAAGCCTCCTGGGCATCGGTCTGCCTGCTGCCCAGAGCTCCCAAACTCAACTGATCCAACATCCTTTGGCTGCTCAGCAACACAGACTACAGGTATGGGCACTTAGTCAGCTACCTAACTTTTTTCCAATACCAATGGTAAAATGCTTAATGTGATTATTTTAAGAAGAGCCCACTCCTTCACCCATGCTGACATGGGGACAGCCACAGAGAAGAAGCCCTTGGCACACATCTCTTGGAACCATGAAGCACAGAACACATCTTTGACCTACAGCTTGCCCAGTTACCAGCAGATCCTCCAACGTCCTCCCACCTAAAACCAAGCAGCAGAACAAGCCCCATAACTGATTCCTACCCCACAATGAGGTTACTTAACCAAAAACCAACGACCAGTGAACAGGACAATGTTTTCATTAGCCATGGAGCAATGTTCACTCTTTCTATCCACAAGCTCTCCTGGATGGCAAGTCACATGCTAGAGCCTGGCAGGAACTAGAGAGAAGGAAATGTGAAGGAGGGAGGAAAAGAACTGGAAACTAAGGAGGGTGCCCATCAACTGAAGAGTGGCTGAAGAAATTAGGGGACATGAATGTAATGAAATACTACTGTGCTATAAGAAATGAGGAGATGGTTTCAGAAACACCTGGGAAGACTTGCAGCAACTAATACAGGGCAAAGTGAGCAGAACCAGGACAACAATTCATTCAATAACAACAAAACTATGAAGACGAAGAACTCGGAATGAAGCAATGCAATAACCAACCATGATTCCAGTGGACCCAGGATGAAGTATACTTACCCATTTCCTAATAGAGAAGTAATGAGCTCAAAGTACAAATTAACAAATATTTTTTGGACATGGTCAATGCAGGAATTTGTTCTGCCTGACTCTGCATATTTTCTACTAGAGCTTTGCTCTTCTTTTCAATGGGGAGAGATAAATTTTTGTTCACTGAAAAAATTAAATTATATTTTTAAAAAATGAAAAGAAGTAGGGGCAGCTAGGTGGCACAGTGGATAGAGTACCGGCCCTGACGTCAGAAGGACCTGAGTTCAAATCCGGCCTCAGACCAAACACTTGATACTTACTAGCTGTGTGACCCTAGGCAAGTCACTTAACCCCAACTGCCTAAAAAAAAAAAAAAAAAATCAAAATCAAAAGAAGTGAAGTTGATTAAAATGATGGGATCAAAGAATGAGGTCTGAATTTCTAGACAATGATTTGAAATGCCGGAACAGCAAGTTGGCCAGGGATGGAAATCATCTAATAAGACATATGACTTTGGACAAATCACTTGACCTTAGTTTTTCATCTGTAAAATTAAAAGTTTTGAACAGATGACCTCTTGAGATCCCCTTGAAGCTCTAACCCTATAATGCAATAAAAAACAGCCAATAAGAATGTATTTGCTTGAAGTCTTGCAAATTTAATTAAAAAAAAGGTTTTAAACTGAAAAAGAAGAGGGAGAAGAGCTAACCTATATCCATCAAACTAGATACAGGAGTCACCAAATTAGCAATACATCCAATTAGATACTTCAGATAAAGTAACTACAACGAAGGAAGAACAACAGTAAACGCCCTTAGAAGGTCGCAGGAGACACAAATCCAAGAACAGAGCCAGCAATATAACCTATGGCCTCAGATGTCTAGACATAAGTGCGCAGAACGTGGTGAACAAACAAGGCATGCCAGGCAGAGATCCTACACAAGGAAGCAAAGTGGACTTCAAAGTATCACTGAAACCATGAGCAGAATCAGGTTCTGGAAAGAGTATATGGCTTATTGAAAAGGAGAAAGGAAGAGGCACTGGCTATTAGGAAGCTATCCTCAAGCAATCAGAGAGAGGAAATGTGCTGGCCAGCACAGGGTCTTAACAACTGCAGGGTAAAGCGTTCCCCACCAAGAACATAGTTTAGCAATAACTCAAAAGCCCTGTTTGGGGAGCACTGCATGTGTGCTTGGGGAAAGGGAAAGCCGTGAAAGGAGTGCTTAAAAATAAAAACTTTTTTAAACAGATTTGTAGCTACCGAGCTAGAATTGTTTTTCCTAAATTTTCTCTTCAAATTTGAACTCATCTAACTGTGAGAGTAAGATCAGTCCTCAGCTTCTGAGTCTATTTTTACATTTTTATAAAAATCAACTTGGGAGGAAGTGCATTTACAAGATCTGTTTGAATTTCTGTGAGGTGAGTCACCGAGTGATAGTGAAGCTGGCATGGCTGATCTGAACTCCTGGAGTCAAGTTCACATGAACCTGAACATCTCAAAAGAAAGCAAAACATAAGCCAACCCTTTCCCCTCTTTGGGCTCACAGAGAACCGCCTGGTTCCCACAGCCAGCCTTGCCCTAGAAACAGGCAATGTTCCCTCCATTCTAGGCATTCAGAGGGAAGACTGTATAACATTCCCAGCCCTCAAAAAGACAGTAACACTACAGAGAAAGAGAAAAAGAAAAAAAAAGAAAAGCTGCCCAAAATGGAAGCAAGTTGAATTCCTGGGGATCTGAAACTAAACTCTGCAGCATTAGGAAGCCTAGAAAATGTAGCACTCAGTAGCAGCACTATGGCCCCCTCCCTCCATCCTCAATGGCCTTACGTATGTTCACTGCTCTTACCTTCATAACAGTCCAGGCGACAAGGGGCAAGGCGTATGGCTTCCCGAAAGTGGATTATGGCTTCCTGCACTCTGCCCATATTTCTAAGGGCTGCACCTTTCAGCAGCAAAGCTTGGACACTGTTACTATTGAGCTGAATAGCCTTGGCTCCTAAATACAAGGCCCGAGAGTATCGTTTGCTATAGAAACTATGACAGCTAGAGAAAAAAGATGACAAAGATTAATTATCAGAAGCACTAGAAGAAATTTTGCTAATTATTCAGCCAAAATCAAAGGCAAAGCTCTAAATTCTTCTACAAACAAAAAAAACCAAAGTTGTCTTTTTTCTTTATGTAAATCATTACCACAATCTATTCCTCTGATTTTGACCCAAGATGCTTGTCAAAGACCCATCTACTAAAAGTCTCTCAAAATGAGAGATCTTTTGAGGAAGGGGAAATTTTGTTAACTATCTGGGCTTTTGTTATTAAATGGGACTAATTTAAAGCTGTGTCAGTTACAAAGTTGCTTTTAGAGGCAGCTAGGTGGTGCAGAGAGTAGTGCTAGCCCTGCAGTCAGGATGACTTGAGTTCAAAACCAGCCTCAGACACTTACTAGATCTGCCAGTGACCCTGGGCATGTCATTTGACCGCTGTCTGCCTCAGTTTCCTCATCTGTAAAATAGGGATAATAGCACCTACCTCTGCCAATGTTTTTGTGAGGATCAAATGAGATCATATTTATAAAGTACTCTATAAATGCTAGCTGTCATGAGCTACTATCATTTTACACACTTCATTTAGTAGATCCAGGTAATTCTCTCCCCATTAAGAATTTAGCTTTATCTAAAATGAAAGCCTTTTTGGTGCATAGAGGGAAAGAAACAAAGAGCAAGAAGGCATACCCAGACACCACCCATGGTTCAGCATGCTGATCAGAAATATTAAATAAGCGGCAGCCCAGGTTCTCGACATCTTCGAGCCGTCCTTCCCGTGCTAGTAAGTATCCATAGACATCCATTCCTAAAATACACATTTAGAGTCATTTGGTGGATTCTCACCTTAAATAATGTATCTGAGAGAGAAGACTTTCTTTTGTAAAGTGGCTGAGCTGCGCAGCTGGCGGCTCCTGCATTCATGCCCACCGCCCAAACCCACACTGGAGCTGGGCACGGTCCTCACCGTCCATGTCCTCCTCTGCTTGTTGGCCTTATGCCATTTTTTGCATCACAGAAATGACAGTCACATACGATAAGCCCAAAGATCAGACACAATACCCGCTTTTTATTTTCAGGAATTACTGGCTCCCCTTTCCACAGTGTGAGGCATAAGCTACGTTAACATCCAGCAAAAGCATCAGACTCAAGAAAGTACACCATCATTTTTCCGGTGCCAAAAGCTCTAGGCACAATTCAGGAAGTACACACTTGATGTGTTAAACATGCCAGTCACATTTAGAAGAAAAAAAAAAGTTAACCTATTAAAAGTTCTAGGAAAAGCAATCTGCTACTTTGGTCTAGTTATTCAAGAGTCCGTTTGCTGTCCCTCATTCACAAAATTTTCCATAAATGATGTCCAACGTCTTTCATCTTTTCTTCTCTGGTCACCATTGCCATGAGAACTTACCTCCTGCCTTGACTGCAGCACCATTCTAAAGCTGATGCACCAGATTCCAGTCTTCCCCCTCCCATCCCAATTCTCCCTTTTATGTATCTGATAGACTAGATTTTCCAAACCACTTTAAAAATGGTGTGGAGAAGGCACCGAAATGGGAGTCAAGGTGTGGATGTTGGCATCAGCTCCTAACTCGCTGGGATTCTGGAAAAGTCATTTAACCTGTTTCCTGGCCTGTAAAAGGAGAGGACTGAACTAGATGAGCTAAAGGTTTCTTCACCCCAACAATGGAGCTGTGGAGACAGGAGGCCACAGTCAGAATTCTGGCTCTGTCACTTACTAGCTGGGTGACCACGGTAAGCTGATCTTACCATTACAGTAATCTCTCCGGGCATTCTATAAAAGGAGTAATACTTGTACTCTCTTATCTTACAAGGTGGCTTGAGGAATTAACTTCATAATCTTAAAGCTCCATATCAATGTGTTAGGTGTCATCATTATCCCCTTAAAGTTCTAAAATTATGACTTTCTGTGACACAGGAAGTACTCAGGAACCTGAAATGACTCCCTAGTACTCTTCTGCTGGGCTCTCAGAACCCACCCTGTGTCATTCCTTAACGCCCCTCAGCACAAGCCCTTGGGCCGAGCTCAGAGGGCTCTGCTCATTTCCCACCCCTCCCCTATCAAAGCCCTTAAAGGTCCATCTCCAGCCTACGTTCTTCCAAAACCTGTCCTGACTACTCAGCTCACTGTCCCACCTCTCCTCTGATCTCCTGAGGCTGTCCTGCACAATAGGCATGCCTCTCATTCACAAGTGAAATAGCTCTCCCCCTCCTATTGTCTTAGCATCATGCTTAGTGCCCAGTAGATGCATTCTCCTTACTGGATCCCTGCATCTAACTGAACACGCCCACTCCATCCTCCTCTGCACACTTCCTTCTCTCTAAGCCCAGGAAATGGGTTTATAGTTTCATCAGGATGGCCATCAGGCCCTCCCTCCCCAACCATTGTGGCTCTTGGGTAACCGGAGGCTCTGCCAGAGTTGCTGTAGCTAAAACCTGCACCATCTTCAGTTAATCAAGTGATGAGCCTCAGCATTTAGTGAGGCTGGACCTGGAATGACAGACAGATGGCCACTGTGTCCACACGCCCCTGCTCAGAGCCTTCCCAGTGCAGCAGAACCTGCCAGGTACAGCCTTTGAAAACCACGGCCCATCTCCAAGCCACGAGCTGAAAATGCTGCTGGAGCTACTTATTTGAGCCTAGTTGCTTTCTTCCTCTGCCACTGCTTAGTAACCATTGTGTTAAGGCCTTCATTCCCACCAGCCATGTACAGCATGACAGCTCACTGTGACTCCCTGGGATATCATCTGAATTCTTTCAGTTAACATTACAGACATTCACTACACAAGTGGAAAAGGGAGAATCGGGTACAAAGAAAGAAACTAAAATAACTCATCATCATTGAAAGAGATCATTTTCAATTTAGGCAACATATGCAAAAATCATTTCAATTGAGACAATACTAGAGTATCATCTTACCAAAAACAGAAGTCTTAAGAAGTGATTATGGTCTAGTTTACAGAAGATTTCTACAAAAAAATTTTAGCAGGAATTAACTCTTCATTTTCCTTTGTTTCTTGATTTTTCTCCCAGAATTCAACCGACTTTACCTTTTATCAGGTAGGGGTCCAACATCTGGGCCTGTTCAAATTTGAGAATGGAGTTTTTGTTATCTCCAGCCCGGAAGTACAGATCTGCTAAGCTCCCCAGTAGGTCCACGTTATCTCTCAATAAGGACTTTTTCTCTAGAGAACTTTTAAGATATTAGAGATTACATAAAACAAACACACAGAAGTCAGCAAATATAAGCGGGTTTCCTGACTTAAAACTTAAAATGCAGCTTACAAAAAACAAAACAGGAATCATATTAAACTAACTATACTGAATAACAAAAAAACATATGAGGGGAAAACATTTCAATACTTGGAATGAACTTTCTGGTCATGGTTTTGCTGGTAGTTAAGAGATACCAAACACAATGTAATTGAATAGTTTCCAAAGGTGACACCTACTCACTGGTCAGCCATAAAGTTAGATAAGATTACTAATCTCAAAATCCAGAATTTCTTTTGTTTTTTTTGTTGTTGTTGTTGTTTTGTTTTTCCCCAGAGAAGCAGTAGACGTGAGCGCCCCATGCTCTCCGGAGGCAGTGCAGGCCAGTTATGAGGAGAGGTCCCAGATCCTCTGCAGGATCGAACCTGCCATTCTTATCCGGCTCAAGCACAGCAAGCTAAGATCGGCTCTGCCAGAGTACGACCTTGAACCCAGTCAGCCTAATTTTACATTTCAACAGGTTTCCAATAAAGATGATTACCTCTGGGGCAGTTCAACATGGAGAGGAACAAGTGAACAGAACAAAATGTGGAGCAGCTGACAACACCCCAGGGACACACAACTGGCAGTGGGAACGGGACTGTGCTGAGAGCCCTTAGAGAAGGAAGCATCTTGCTGGCCACGCTGGAACTCCCACCAGGGAAAAGCCCTGGAGAACATTAAATGAACTGTGTGTGCTTCTTACCAGATGGTATTGATAGCTCTGGTGTTGTCCCCAGTGTGTACAAAGGCATACGCTTTGATCCACACTGAAAGCCAGTCCAAGTTAGGAATGCTCTGAATCACATTCATTGTCATGGACGCCACTTCTGCACCTTTTACAGAAAGGGACAATAAACCTAGTCCAAAAGAGACAGACAGGAGGTGAGCGATATTGTCCATTTTGACAAATGCAATAAGTAGATGACTATACTTTTTCCTGTGTTAAATGAGACTACACACTCATATAAGACTGATCCTCATTTATCAGACAGCAGAAATGTAATGGAAAGAGCAGGAGATCTAGAGTCAGGAGGCCTAGGTTCAAATCCCTCCTACACCACTTACGAGCCACAGATCTGGGCAAATTACTGGACTGCTTAGTGACTCAGTCTCCCCAGCTGTACATCTGCACTACCTACGTCATCAGGTTGTAAGGAAGCACTTTGTAAGCCTCAAGGTACTAGGTAAATGTCAGCAGTCAAGTGCTCCTGTCATTCCTGACTCTTATCGCAGACCATTTCATTTTAAACAGCAATGTAAACTTTTCCTGAGACACCTGACTCAACAGCCCTAGACAAGTGAGCAGAATACAAAATGAGGGAGAAGAGCATCTCTACCAAGAATGGCGTCCAGAGCCAGCGGGCACTGTCTCAGCACCTCTTTGTAGCTGGTCACAGAAGAGCGCTCCTGACCTGCCTTCTTGTACAAGTTGGCTAGCATCATGTTTATCTGTAAACAACAAAATCATCAAGAAAGAAAGAAAGAGAAAAACCCAATGAAAACCAGGTGATTCATCACAAAGGAGTTCTAGTCCCCATCATTATCAGCTAGAATCCCAGGGTTTCCAGGGAAAAAAAAATGCCATCTCCCTCCCGTCCCCCTGCAGTGACCCTGGCTGTCCACTAGGCCCTCTCACCTACACAGGAGGCCCAAGGGCTTCCTGGCTGACCAAACCAAGAGCAAACAGTTCAGTCAAGTCTAATACCAAATCTCCTGCATCTGAAAGCTGAAAAATGCTACATTCAAAAAATATTAGTATCAAATCCACACTAACTTGATTGCTTCTTTCTTGTTCTCAAAACAGCTAGAAAATTCCCCAAGCAGTTGCCTGAGTTTTTATATTTAATATCTAATTACAATTAAGGCACAAGAAAGAGGAACTATTGGCATGACTAGATGAGGTAGGTCAAACATCTCCCCAGAGAGGGAATGCTTGACCTCTCTCTGATAATTAGCCTGGTTAATTTAATAGTATTTAAGGGATGACCCACAGCTACAAACTGTACTTGTCAAAAGAATGCTGCAGAGGACAGACTCAACCCGACACCTCCCCTCCCAGGTGATAATCACACACAGATCATCCACACTCTTTAATGCTAGTAAGCAGAGACTCCCACATTTTTGGCACAACACACAAGTATGTGACTTAGTAAAGCTTTATTAAAACAAACCTTTCTAGACATGCAAGAGGGTAAAATGAATTCTGAAGAAAAAGAAAAATGTCGAAAGGAAGAGAATGCAGAGGATTTAACAGTGTTTATATTTTCGACAACTGCACAAAGGAAAATGAGGAGACCTGATTAAAAAAAAACAAAACTAGGAGGACTGCAAAGCCATTATCAAGGACCTAATTAGGCAGTCCCACAGGGGTATGAATATGTGCATCTTGTAGCTTTCATTTACATAATGCTTTATACAAAGCACTTTCACATTCAGTATCCCATCAGGCCTCAAAATAGACCTATGAGAAGGTAGGCAGGGCAAAAGGGAGAGAAGAAGCGAGGCGAGGCCACATCTTCTCCAGTTCTCTGGGTCTAGATTATGGCTTGCTGTGTACTCTAGGACTGTGCCATACAATTTAACACCTACAAGCTTATCCAAAAGAGTAAAAGGACATCTGCTCTTAACAGAGGCCTACAGTATATAAACTCATTTAGTATGACACATTCTCAAGCCATGCACTAATGCAAACCACCTTCTGCCTGACTTTAGATTTTCCACTTTAAACTCTTTGAAAATGTAACACTTGATAAAAAGGGAAATGCTTAAAGGAAGACTCCAGTGCTAGTATCTCCAATAAAGGAGGATAAAAGGCGCCTTCTCAACTACTGGATCTTGCAAAACAAAGCCTGAGAGGCCTGTCCTGGTGGAGTGTAGCACAATTCAGTTCCGTACATTCTTAGCCTATTTCACTGTCACTGCCAATCTGATTTTTAGTATTTTCTAATGGGATAGCCAATCCTTTCTCTTCAAAACAAGCCCTTCCTTGGAAATCTCATTATAATTACAAATCTCACAGTGCCAAACACAAGCAGTTGTAATTTTCTAAGACAAAATGAAAAACCTTTATGTGACAGATGTATTCCTATTAAGAGAACTGAATACTTACTAAGTTATTATAACCTATCACTGGAGTTTTCCTTTAAAAGGTGAGGGAATGTGTGGCGATGTTTACCATACATTAACAGAAGTTCATTTAGATGCATTTTGACTCACTTCCTTGTCCTTTACACAGACTGAGAAGCCCAGTTAACTCCCTAACGGACAAGAAAGAAAAAGTATAAATATTATATTTGATGAATATATCTTTTGTGTTTGCTCCTAGCTATTACAGAATTAAGGACAGGAGGTCCCAACACAATGTAAACTTATTTTACACAGAAAAAAGTAAAGTTTTCTAGTTTTCTGTGTGTTGCAAGTCAATCATCCCATTAAAAATAAATAAAAGTAATAGAATTTGGGAGTTGAAAGAAACCTTACTGATCACCTAGTCCACCTAGAATGGAAGGTAAAAAATAGTAACTATTTCACCCTTTTTTCCAAGAGCTTCTAAGAAACCTGTTAAGTCTTTCAAGGAAGAAATCTCATATTTACTTACTGAAAAAGAAACACTATCATTCAAAACTAGCAGCCTGAATGGCTTTCTGTAAGGAGTAAAAAGTTTTGAATATAACTATAACTCTCTTAGGCAAAAAAGGAAAAAAAAAATCCTACTTTATGTAAAAAAAGAAAAAACAAAATCCTCTTGGGGGTGGAGGTGAAGGACACTGTAGGAAGTCCAAGTTAGTAGAAGGGGACGGTGATTTCTTTTCTCCTGGGCTAACTATGAAAGAATTAATATGCTTTTAAAGGAGGCATCAGCAGTAAATATGGTTACATTTTAGGCCAGATATTATGCTAGTTTCAAAAACAACCGACTCAGAAGTTATCAAAATCTCTCTCAACTACTGGGATTAGTTTAAACAAATAGTGATCATATTTATCAGCCACTTTTTATGCTTAGTAATCAATAACTCACTTCATATAAATAGCAGAGGGAAGGTGACGACTTTGGGGGTCCAGAAGTTATAAACCTAGTCTAGACCCAGACTCAGAGGCTCTAACTAACTGAAATATAACAGAACCCTAAGGTTTAATATCCCCCTCTCTTAAAAAGCCAGATGTACTGTTTCTGACCCTAAGATGCAAATCCTTGTTGGTGGAACAAGATGTACAAAATGAAAAGTGTCTTGGTGGCTTTTTGGCGTGATGTGGGGATACTGAATATGAATAGAAATTTATTCCTGAGTGCAAAAGTTCCCACTGATCTTTTCATTACAATGCTTTCAAAAACACTCTGATTAATGATGCCTAGTACAATAAAATACAAATCTGTATCCCACATCTTAAGTGTGTACAAAAGGACTTAATGTTCTTGAATTCTTAGCAAAGGAGCTAACAAACGAATTCCCATTATCCTGATGCAAGTATGGATTTTCAAACAAACCATAGGCGGATAAGATGAAATTTTTTAGAAATAGAGTGATTGCCAAACTTCTACTGGCAATATACTATTTCCTAGGACAAGAAACCAATCAAAATAACAAACGATCCTTGTGATTCATTCCAGCTGACATCTCCCTCAGCCCAACTTGCTGACTGGGAGAGGAAATTTTTCCCCCTGTATTGCCCTAAATTGAACCCCGCAGTAGTAGAGCCAGCAACAGGATAAGTCATGTGTAAACAAGCAGAGGGGGCCCCCTTACTCATGGCATTCATAGGAAACACGGGCAAGAGAAAGGGGAAACAGAAAAACATTCACCAGCTACGGACCTGAAAATGTAGCAAACCAACCTACTTTAGGGGTTCTCTGTCTGGAGGGGATCCCATCAAGGACAGCGATTGCATCTTTGTCTTGTTTTAGCATCGTGTAACACTCAGCCATTCTGTATTTCACTTCAATTTCAGATGGAAGACACTATTTAAAAAACAAAGACAAGAATATTACAAGTGAGCTCAAAATACTATTGATGTAGCAGCTACTTGGGGGGAAGATCCAAATACCAATCACTTTCATTTCAATTCAATGAACAAGTGAAAGCTGCTCCAACCCAAGCCCTGCCCTCAGAAGAGGTGAAGGACAAAAAGAGCAAAGGAGAATGAGATAAGTGATGAGGCTGCTCAGCTGTGGGAAACTGAGGTGAGAGGAGGAAAGCTTCCCGGAGAAGGTGTCATCTGAACTGTATCTCTGAAGGGCTGGGAGGTGGAAGGGCAAAAGACAAAACAAAACAAGCCCCACCACCTACCAAGCTTTTTTAAGGCACTTATAGCTTACTGGGGGAAAATTAACACACAAAATCTAAGTAAATACTACAGAAATACAAACCAATTGGGGAGGAGTGTTAGACTGGAGACTGACAACTGGGGAAAACAGCAAAGGCCTCTCATTGTAGGTGGCCGCTGAGCTTGGCCCAAGGGTGCACAAGGGATTCTAAGACATGGAGGCAAGGAAGGAGAGAGTGTGCAAGTAGGTCCATTGGGAAAGAACTCAGAATGAGTGAGGGAAGTGACGTGGCATGAGGCTGAAAAGGGAGCTTGTGAAGGCTTTCAAATAGAGAAGTCGACCCTGTGTTTCAGAGATATCTATGGAGGTCATAGGGAAGATGGCTTAGAGAAGGGAAGGACTAGAAGCAGGAAGGTCAATTAGGCAGCTCTGGTAGAAGTTGGGAGGTCCTGACCTAGAGTGGCAGCCAGCAAGGTGAGTGGAGACAAGAGATAATCTGCAGGCTGATTAAGACTTGGCAACTACCTCCATATGGAAGGCAAGAGTGAATAACCAGGGATGACTCACTCCAAGGTTGCTAGCCTGGCTAAGTTAAAAGTTGAGGATGTCCTTGATAGAAATTGGGAATTTAGGAAGTGTCATTTGGAAAGGGTAGGGGGTAGGGGAGAATAACATGTCCAAAACAGAACTCATCAAGTTTGACATGCCTACGAGACATCCATGATGTAAAAACATCTAGGGGAATCGGGCTTTTTTTGGCTATTAAATTGGTATAGAGGGTAGGAAGGGACCTTAAAGACTGTCTGATCTGACTCCCTTGATTGTACAGCGGAGGGCAATGAAGCCCAAAGCAGGGAAGGGAATTATCCAAGGTCACACACCTTATATACAGCAGAGCTAAGATGGGAAGTCAAGCCTCATGGCTACTAAGCTGGGATTCTTTCTCCTACTGTTGACTAAGGAGACAAAAAAAAATAGTGCTTCGGGATTCTATGACCTCATTAACTTTTTTCAGGGAGCAAGCAGGGTGTTTGGCTTTGTGTTAGAAAGTATCTCTGTTGTCAAAACAGAATGTATCAATACATCTTTTTAAAATTAAAAGGAAAAAAATAAACTTGCTGACAACAGACAGTTATTTTCAAAGTGCCAGGAAAAGGAAATGAAGTCAGCTTTACCATTTCTATTTTCCAGGGACCTGTGTTACACCACAAACCATCACATCTGTGTTGCCAAATACCTGACTCTGAGGAGTTGAAGCAGCACTGCCCGTGGAAGGTCGCACTTTGGATGTTTTACTTAAGGCCTTTTTCTGCTGGAGGGCCATCGTGTACTTGCTAACAGCATTCCGATATTCTTTATCGTGAAAGAGAGAATCTGCATGGTAGACCAAAAGCTGGTACTTCTGAGATGGAGAGAATAATTCACTGGGGGAATAAAAACAACACGTCCCACCAATAAGCTCTTCCTCAAAACTAATGAAGACCTAAACACAGTGCACACAGGCCCGAGTCCAAGGCCTGGCCCACGGTAAGGAGCGATGAATAAAGCACCAAACAGAGCTCCACATCAGGTAGATAATAACACAGTTACCAAGAAAATGATCTTGAACTTGATCAAAGACCCAAAGGCCCGATCAATCCACCAGTCTGACCAAAATTTAATTAAAGGTAATCGAATATTCCAGATGTTCTCTCTTTTAACATCTTCACGAACCAAAAGTAACAGCTAACTTAGATTTAAATATCTGCTAGTAGAAACTGTACACTTTATAAATCACATGGAACAAAATGAAATGCTCTAAAGTAAACACTAAAGACAGACAAAAACCAGGTCTCCTCACTGTCAACACTAAGCGGACAGTGGGAAAGTGAGCCTCACACTCAAGGATGCTCAAAGTGCACAAATTGAAATGAGGGGCCGGGCAATAACTGCATTTCTAGTCATCTGTAATCCTTCTGTTTGTGAGCAGAATGCTTCCAAAATTGTAGCAGTCCTAGAATACTAAGCCCACAATGATGGGAAATTTTAAATATGACACCATTTACACAGAGCTGGTTGCAAATATTCAAAAATTTCACTTGGATTTGTTTTAAAATGGTGTCGATCCCACAACCCTAAAACTGAAATATTAACCAAGTGATTCTTCTGACAGATCTGGTATCACATGTATACTCCCAATCCTGAAGAGAGAATCTGAATAAGCGATGAGTAAGTGAAGGAAAAAAATCGAGAGCTCAACATGTTTTAACTGTTGCAAGAACCAGAAGGCAACAGATAAGATTTTTTTCTTTTTGGGAGGAGGGGGTAGAAGGGAATCAAGATGAAAGAAAAAATTAAAATAGAAAAGAGGTGGTTTAAATGGGGATGAGGGCAATCAATAGAGGCAACAACTCATAGAGGCAACAACTCACTTCTGAGTGATAACAGTCCTCTCTCAGAAGCTCGGCAAAAGCTCTCAGAACATTTTTTGATGGCAGATTAGAGGCAGCTGAATTTTCTCAACATTTCCCTCTAAACAACTTTAAAATAACGTCTCGTCAAATTTTGGAGCAGCAGAGACAACAAAAGGTCAGGGTGAGTCATTTTTCCAGCCTAAGACAACTTAGGAGGCGGGTAGGAGAGGTCTGTGACACTGGAATAGAAGCCAGTTCAGAATGCACATGTTGCAGCACCAGTAGCTGGCCCTGGAGGCGGCTGGCAAAGGAGCAACGGCAGCAGCTTCCTGGTCAAAGACCACAGGAGCAGTGACCATACTACTCCCCAGATCATACCACTTTGGAAGCACTGAAAATGTGCACAACCCCAGAACTAGCACTGAAAATAGTAGCACAAAAAAGTCTGAACTGGGGACAGCGTCTCCCCATCCCCAGGTGGGCAGAGCCCAACTTTGACATAAAGTTCAAAATCAATAAACAGGCTGAAAAAATGAGCAAACAACAAAAAAAGAACTTGACTATAAACTACTACGGTGACAACATATAACAATGTGAAAACAGCTACAAGCAAAACCTCAAAGACAAAAATGCCAACTGCACACAAGCTCGACAAGAATTCCTGGAAGAGTTAAAGAAAAAGATAATCATGGTAGAGGAAAAATTAGGAAAAGAAAGGAAAGTGATGAAGGAAAATTATGAAAAGAGAATTAACAGCTTGGTAAAAGAGGAAAATAACAGAAAATAACGCCTTTAAAAACAGAATTGGCCTAATTGTAAAAGAGGCACAAAAATTCATTAAAGAAAAAAGACTTAAAAAGTAGAATAGGCCACATGGAAAAAGTACAAAAGCTCACTGAAGAAAATAATTCCTTAAAAATAATGACTTCATGAGACACCAAAAAACAATAAAACAAAGTCAAAAGAATGAAAAATAGAAGGAAATGTGAACCATCTCATCAAAAAAACAACTGACCTGGAAAACAGATCAAAGAGAGCTCATCTAAGAATTACTGTACTACCTGAAAGCCAAGATCAAAAAAAGAGCCTAGACATCATATTTCAAGAAGTTATATAGGAAAACTGCCCTGACATCTTGGATCCAGAGGGTGAAAGGAATTGAAAGAATCCACCAATCACCTCCTGAAAAAGACCCCAAAATGAAAACTTCCAGGAATATTATAATTGCAAGCAGCCAGAAAAAAAAAATTCAAATATCATGGAGCCACAGTCAAGATCACACAAAATTTAATGGCTTCCATGTTAAGGGAGCAGAGGGCTTGAAATATGATATTCCAGAAGGCAAAGGAGCTAGGATTACAACCAAGAATCACCTATCCAGCAAAACTGAGTATAATCCTTCAGGAGGGAAATGGACATTTAATAAAAATAGAGGGCTTTCAAGCAACCAGAGCTGAATAGAAATTTGACTTTCAAACACAAAACTCAAAAGAAACATAAAAAGGTAACACATGAAAGAATAATCATAAGGGACTCAATAAAGTTAAACTGTTTACATTTCTGTTTGGGAAGACGATTGGCTGGTTATGGTCCTTCCTTCTCAAAGAGGACCAAAATGTGTCCTACTGGGGCTGATCAGATCAAAACGAGTTCGGAATGATGATACATGCAACCCCTAAGAACTTTATCATTTTTAGGGCAGTTAAAAGGAGGCTAGATAGAGGACATGGCTGTGAGTCAATTATGTTGGGATGATCTCAAAAAGAAAAATGAAGGGGTAAAAAGAGGGATGCACTGAGAGAACGGGGAAGGAGGCAGCAGAATGGGGAAAATTTTCTCATATGAAAGAGGCTGCAAAGAGCCTTTGCAATGGAAGGGAGAATGAGGAAAGGTAGCAGGCAATGCTTGAACCTCACTCTCATCGGAATTTGTTCAAAAAGGGAAGAACAAATACACCCACTCAGTTGTGTGTAAAAATCTATCTTACCCAACAGGGAAATAGGAGGGGAAGGGGATAAGAGAAAGAGGGGGAATGATAAAAAAAAAAGTAGAATAAAGGAGGCAATAGTCAGAAGCAATACAGATTTTTGCGGAGGGACAGGATAAAAAGAGAGGGAGAAGAAGAAACTGAAGAAAATGGGATGGAAGGTCATAACCGTAAACGTGAACGGGATGAGCTCACCCATAAAACGGAAGCAGATAGTAGAATGGATCAGAAATTAGAATCCAATAATATGTTGTTTACACGAGACACACGTGAAACAGAAAGACACACACAGAGTTAAAATAAAGGGCTGGAACAGAATCTAATGTGCTTCAGCTGAAGTTAAAAAGACAGGGGCAGCAATAATAACCTCAGACAAAGCAAAAATTGACCTAATTAAAAGAGATGATCAGGAAAACTTTGTTTTGCTAAAAGGTACTAAAATGAAGTAATATTAAAAAAAAACTTTTACAGCAAGTTTCTCTAATAGAGGCCTCATTTCTCAAATATATAGAGAACTGAGTCAAATCTATAAAAATAAGAGCCATTCTCTAAAAGATAAATGGTCAAAGGATATGAACAGGTAGTTTTCAGAAGGAGAAATCAAAGCTAGCTATAACCATTTGAAAATATGCTCTAAATTGCTATTGATTAGAAAAATGCAAATTAAAACAACTCTGAGGTACCACTTCACACCACCTACTAGAAATGACAAATGCTAGAGGGGGTGGGGGAAAACAGGTACAACAGTAAACTGCTGATGGAGTTGTGCACTGGTCCATTCTGGAGAACAATCTGGAACTAGAGCCAAAGGGATACAAAACTGTGTACTACCTGACCCAGTAATCCCACTACCAGGAAAAAGACGTATACATACAAAAATATTTCTAGTAGCTCTTTCTGAGGTGGCAAACAATTGGAAATTGAGGGGATGCTCATCAATTGGGGAATGGCTAAACAAGTTGTAGCACATGACTGTGACGGAATACTACTGTGCTATAAGAAATAGGGGAGAGGGTTAGAAAAACATGGCAAGAACTGATGCAAAGTGAAATGAGAAGAACCAGGAGATCATTGTGCACAGTAACAGTAACGCTGTAATGATGATCAACTGTGAAAAATTGGATACACTAATCAATACAGTGATCAATACAGTGATCCAAGGCAATTCCAAAGGACTCATGATTAAAAAATGCTATCCACCTTGAGAGAGAAAACTGATGAACTCTGAGTGCAAATTTAAGTATAATTTTCTCACTTCCTTTATTTTTATTTCACATATATAATTGATATCATACTGCTTGCCCTTAGGGAAGGGAAGTAGGGGAGCGAATTTGGAACTCAAAATTTAATAAGTTAAAAATAATCTTTTTAACGTAGAAAAAAAGATCGTTTTTTACATATCTTCCCTCCTCCCAGTCTCCCCCCATAAAAGTTTCTCAATAACGGTGCAACACCACCTGCCCCCAAGGAAGACAACAAGGTGGAGACACAGAAAACAGTAGTATAACACCTAGCTCTGCCACTTACTATTATTCATGATGACAATTCAATTCAACATTTATTGTCTATTCCATGTAAAAAACTATGCCAGGCACTGAGGATTGGGAGGGGGGGAAGAGAAGGCAGCACAAACCTGTGGGTGCATCAGTATAGGAAGTCTCAGTATGAAAACTCCCTCCACTGATGCACACTAGCCACTCCTCCAAGCTACAGTCCTGAAGACACTGAAGCCTAGGATGATGAAGCGAAGTCATTAGCCCATGATCACAGAGCTAGTGTGTGTCAGTATTAGGACTTGAACTCAGGTTGCCCTGACTTCAAAGCCAGCCCTCTTCAGCACAGGTCACAGATGGAAAGATTTTTTTAAAAAATGCAATCACTGCCTTCGAGGAGCTCACATTCTACTAGAGAGAGCAAAGATGTGACACGTACATGAATATATTTAATACAAGGTAGCATGTGATGCTAGGAGTAGCTAGAGGCCAGGCCTGGACTCAGGAAAACTATCTTGGTGAGTTCAAACCTGGCCTCAGACACTTACTAG